CAACCCAGTTCCATTGGTCTACAGCTCTGCCTTTGTTCCAGTATCATGCTGTTTTAATTATTACTGCTTTCTAGTAGAGCTTGAAGTTAGGGAGGTTGATTCCTTCCATTTTCTTTTTCCCAAGAATTGCTTTAGCTATTCCTGGGGGCTTTATAGTTCCATATAAATTTCAGGAGGGTTTGCTCCATTTCTTTGAAGAATGTCATGGGTATCCTTATAGGGACCACCTTGAATTTGTACAGTGTTTTGGGAAGTATTGCCATTTTGACAATGTTAATTCTCCCCATCCATGAGCAGGGGATATTTTTCCATTTCCTCGTGTCCTCTTTTATTTCCTGAAGTAGTGTTTTGTAGTTTTCTTTGTACAGGTCCTTTACTTCCTTAGTTAAGCTGATTCCTAGGTATTTGATTTTACTCTACAATTGTGAATGGAATTGTTTTCATGTCACTTTCTTCTCTTTCACTATTTGCGTATAGGAAAGCCATGGATTTTTGGGTATTGATTTCATAGCCTGCCACTTTACAAGTCTATTGTTTCTAGGAGTTTCTTGATAGAGGTTTTAGGGTTCTCTAAGCACAGTATCATATCATCTGCGAATATATCCTTATTTATAAGTAGAATGGACTTATATCTTATGCGGACATGTATAGATTAAATATGATAATATTTAATAGATTAAATATGCAGAAGCATGGGGCTAGAATGATAGTACAGTGGGTAAGGTACTCTACATGCCTTGCATGCAGCTGACTGGGGTTAAATCCCCAGCACCCTTTAGGGTATCCCATATCCTGCCAGGAGTAATCCCTAAGCACAGAGCTAGAAATAAACCCTGAGCACAGCTGGATGTGACCCACAAACAAAAATTATGCAGAAACAATGTCCAATATTTGGGGGGGGGGTGTGCAGGAGAAGGCTCGGATCATACCCAGCAGTAATCAGGGCTTATTCCTGCTCAGCACTTAGAGGTCACTCCAAAGGGAGAGCCATGGCCGTTCCCCACCCCCCCAAGCTCGGGGAGAGTCACGCTTGCCTAGAGCTTTCCGGCTCTTGTGTTGTTCATTTTGGCCTCAGAGCAGTTGGAGCTGGGGCTGTCGGTTTGCCCCGAGTCATGTGAAAGGAAGGACTGGAGAGATACTCACTCTCCTTTTTATTTATTTATTTATTTTTTTCAGTTTTTGTTTTGAACTAGAAATAAACCGCAAATTTCAAATGCTTTTTGCTTTTCTTTTTTTTCTTTTTCTTTTTTTGGTAGTGGTAGGTGGGTCACACCCAGGGGTGCAAAGGGCTTACTCCTGGCAGGGCTCTGAGGGACCATATGGGATGTTGGGGATCAGACTCAGGATGGCCTTGTGCAAGGCAAGCACCTTACCCACTGAACTATCATACTGGCCCCAAGGAAGGAAGGAAGGAAGGAGAAACAGAGAGAGAGAGAGAGACACAGAGAGAGAGAGAGAGAGAGAGACAGAGACAGAGAGACAGAGAGAGAGAGAGAAGGGAGAGGTACTGAGTGGCTGGCCATCGTGTTCGGTCTATAGTCTACTTTCAGCACGCATCTCTCATCCCGGACAAACCTCTTCTTTTTCATGCTGAAGGCATGAAATGGTTATTGCATTTTAGGTGACATGGTTACAATAGTGTTAACGTTTCTGGATTTGGTGTAAAAGTTACTGCACTCCTACCACAACCGAAGTGCTTAGGATTCACCACTGTCCCCGTGTCACCTCTAGTCCAGTCCTCCTCTCCCCTCTTCTCTCCCCGCGGCTCGGTAATCTCGGTTTTGTAATCCAAGACCCAGGGTTTGTCATCCTTGGATACTGCCTGTTCCCTTGAGCACTCTGCGTGTATGTGTGGGCGGGGGTGCAATAATTTTGTAAATCACCATAAAATTGCACATTATCGTAACCATATTACCTAAGCTGTAATTTGAAGAAGGAAAAATATGGGCTGGAGTGGTAGTACACTGTGGAGGGCGTTTGCCTTGCATGCGGCTAACTGGGTTCAGTCCCTAGCACCATGTATGGTCCCCTGAGCATTGTCAGGATTCCTGAATGCAGTCAGTGGTAAGCCCTGGGCACTGCCAAGGGTAGCCCTAACTGGACCCCCACCTCATAAAAGTGTGCACGCACACACACACACACACACACACACACGCGCGCTACCACTGTCAACCCTTTCCACCCCCTCCAACCCCCCAGGAAGCCAAGTTTGTTTGTTTTTGCATTTATGTTTTGGGGCCTCACCCAGCAGGGTTCAAGGGTTACTTCTGACTGAGCTCAAGAATCGCTCCTGGAGGTGCCCAGGGAAACACACAGAGTGGCAAAAATGGAAGCCAGGTTGGCCACATACAAGGCAAATGCCCTACCTGCTGCACCATCACTCCAGCCTCAAGAAACCAAAGCTGACCCTGGGATACAACCTGGCCAGATGATTCTCAGAGTAAGAAGAGAAACATTGGCCATACCTGGAAGTGATTAGACAAACCATTATGCGTAGGACAGCACATTCATTCTTGCGACTTTCTCCATGTTGTTGCACATGATGGTCTCTTGGTTTCTCTTTGAACTGCAGCATCGGTCCTGTCCCACCCAACAACTGAGGTACAGACTCTCTTGAGCACCAGTCACCCCAGCTCATTTTTGCAGTCTGACCAATATTGCTTTAATTCTTAAGTTTGGTACTCAAACTTCTGTATTCAATAAATCCTGTCACTTAAGACGTTACCCTTTCTTCCCTCTCTCATGACAGTAGGGTTTCCAAAACCCACATTGCATCACAACTGTTAGTAGAATCAACCTTTTTCCTATTAAGACAGTAAAGATGTGGGCAAAAATATAACATGCCACTTTGGAGTGGAAACACCAATTTTTGTCAAGAATTATTTCAATACAGGGCTGGAGCAGCAGGTAGGGCATTTGCTTTGCATGCAGTCAACCTGGGTTCGATTCCCAGCATCCCATATGGTTCCCAGACCACTGCCAGGAGTAATTCCTGAGTGCAGAGCCAAGAATAACCCCTGTGTATCACCGGGTGTGACCCAAAAAGGAAAAAAAAATTGTTTCGATGCAGTGGGTTTGTCGTCATTTTAACCAATTGTTTATAACTGTGTTCCTTTGATTTTCAAAGAGAATATATATAGAGATATAAGACTGCACTGTCCTCCCATTGTTCATTGATTTGCTCGAGCAGGCACCAGTAATGTCTTACAACGAATTGTGAGACTTGTAATTTCTGTTTTTGGCATATTGAATACGTCATGGGTAGCTTGCAGGCTTTGCCATGCGGGCGAGATACTCTCGGTAGTTTGCCAGTCTCTCCAAGAGGGGCCGACGAATCAAAACTGGGTCAGCTGCATGCAAGGCAAACGCCCTACCTGCTGTGCTATAAACAAAATTTCTTTGGCATCCTGGATAACTCCAAATGCCATGGGGCCAGAGACCAAGGAAATTTGAGAATTACTGATCTAGTCTGAAGGCCAGGGGCTGCTGACTTTGGGAAGCAGTGCCAGGGAAGAAGTTTGTATGCTAGACTCTGAGTTGAGGGTGTCACTGAAAATCAGCCTGTGAAAGAACTGCTGAGAACTAAAACATCTTGGGGGGGGGGGGGGGTTGCTGGGGGCAGTCATACCCAGCAGTAGCTCTGAAGCTACTCTCAACTCAGTGCTCAGGGGACCATGTGGTGCTGGGAACCAAGCCTCCACCTCCTGCCTGCATGCAACCTACTGACCCACCTGTACAGTCCCGAAAGGCCAAGTCTTAAAATGTGAAAAGTGACTACAAACAGGATGTGTAGCTGTGTCATTTCTGACGCTCTTAGGATAAAAATTGGCTTTAAAATGAGGGCCTGCTATCTTTCCGTTTTATCTTCTGAACTCAAATTGAGTAACAGTTTAAAGAGAAAAGTTATGAAGGTTTAAGAGGGCATATTTTCTATATCCATTCAGTCTATCTTAGAGGTAGTAATTCTCATATCTCAGTGTTAGTAATCATTCCGGGAGAAACACGGGCTGTGTTGACAGTATCTTCTTCCCCAGATAAATAACCAGAAGTGAAATTGCTTATCATATGACAGCTTGCTAAACAGAATTCCTTTCTTGTTTATTGGGTGCTAAGCGCTCCCTCCTGGCTCTGCACTCAGGAATCATTCCCGGCAGGGGTCAGGCGACCATATGGGGTGCTGGGGAACGAACCCACGTCAGCCGCGTGCAAGGCAAGTGCCTTCCTCACTGTACAGTCTCTTTGTTTAAATTCCCAGGGCCCATGTGGAGGTGCTCAGAAGATCTGTAGTGACAGGGACTGAACCCAGGGCCTTGCTCTCTTTGCACCAACTTTTATAACTGGTTTTTATTTGGGCATTAAACAAGGAACACATTTCAATTCTGTACTTTTTTGGGGGGAGCCACACTGTGCTCAGAGGTGGGGCTTGGGGGACCATATGGGGTACCAGGGAGCACACCCTGGCCAGCCATATGCAGGGCAAGCAACTTCCTCACTGGACTTTTGCTCTGACCCCTCAATTCTGTTTCTTACAGTGACAGACAAAACAATATGAAATACAAAATATGGGCCAATAGTGCACAGTAGTAGCTCAGCGGCTATCCAAAAAAATGGGGTTTTAATGTTTCTGTGTAATGGAACTAAAATTCTTCTCTGGGGGCTATGCAGATAGTACGGAAGTTAAAGCACTTGCTTTGCATGTGGTCAACCACGGTTTGATCCGAGGCACCCCATATGGTCCCGAGCACCACCAGCTGCAGTCAAATAATTTCAAAAAAGGAAATTCTCTGGTTTCAAATTAAGCAAGTACACTGAAGTATCACACATAAAACTAATGACCTTCGGTTTGGGGGTCACACTTGGTGGTGCTCAGAGGTACCCCAGCTCTCTTGGGAGTTGCTCCGGATGGTGCTCAGGGACTGAGTGATGCTTGGACTGAACATGGGCCTCCACATGTGAAGCATCAAACCAGTTCTTCCAGGAAAAGAAAAGAAACAGCAGCCTTTTCTTAGTGAAAGAAGTCGGTTTATTATATTTCAGCAAGGCCTCATAATTAAGACAAACCACATACCAACAATATAACTTAGTTTTTTTAAATATTGTCAAAAGGAAAGAGTTCTTTGGGAATTAGGGAAAGTATTCTGGGAAGAATAATTATAGGAAGTTACATTTTTAACTCTAAATATAATAACAGGCTTGTCTACCAGGTAAAGAACCCAGTATTTGTTTAATTCATCGAGTTTGAGTCAACTAAGAACCTGCCCTGAGAACCTGAGCAGGAAATGTTCATATTTAAGTAGGAAATCAGCAATTTAAAGTACGAATCACGTTATTTTAACAAGGCCATTTACATAATCAGACTTATCAGTTATCATTATGTTGGTTAAGGTCCTAGCAAAGACTAACTGGTCTGGGGAGCTGGGTTCAGGCCACTCGTCTGGCTCTAAGGATAAACAATGGAAGTGGGCCTGTCTGACTACAGCAAACACCTCTTTCTGCTCACTTTCTCCCCCATGGGAAGCAGGGTCAGGCCAGAGCCATCTTGGTTCTGAATCGCTCCATCTTTGTGGGGAGGAGACTCACCATCTCTTTACTCAGTTCGAGCTCCACTTCGATCTCCTGGGCTGCCTCGGGGTGCCTCTCGCAGTAGTCGACGATGAATCTGTAATGTTCTAGTGACGTGGCCAAGTTCTCTAGCTCTTTCTTGGGGTCTGGGGTGATGATTTTGCCATAGAGACGAGCAACTCGAAACTTAGCTAACATGGCAGGGCGAAGGACATCTTCCCCTATGTGCTCGGGGAACACTTTGTTGGGGTCTCTCAGGGAGTCTAAGAACAGCTGGTAGTACTTGAGTGCTGACTTATTAAGGCTGTTGATTTTCTTCACGATGTGTGAATCGGGATCCCTCAGCTTGTCGGCAATGGCCACCTTCAAGTCCATCATGTCATAGTAAGCGTGTGCAATCTCAAACTGAATCTGTCTGTTGACCAGCAGGTAATACTGAGGATTCAGGTCTACGATTAGGGGCTCCAGCATGGCTATTCGTCGTTTATGCATTTTGCAGCGTCTCTCCAGGTCAGTTTCAAAGAACGCGAGCACCTTAAACAGGGCACTGTGATCCTGAACAACCTCGATATGGTCAGTAACATAACCGTCAATCTGAAAGAACTCTTTGGCCTCAGAGACGTAGTGCTGACCCAGTAAGAAAAGTTCTCTGGCCTCTTCGAAATCTAAGGGCCTCAGGTAGCCCACTTTCTCCTCTATGGCCGAGATGGCGTCACAGAGTTCACCGCTTCCGAACTGCACAGCTTTTTTCCTAACACTTTCTTCCTCGTCTAGTTCTTTTTTCCTTAACGTTCTAAGCTCATACTGCTTGTCTAGATCAAGCTCTCCGATGTTGTCCTGAAAGGGGGAAAAAACAAAACAAAGCCCGAAACATGGTCAAAAAGGACCGTGATCTTGTCAAATCAGACTGAAGACTAAGAATAAAGTTTCCTCCTTCCCAGTCTGGTTTAGCAGGCCACCATTTCTGGCCATGGCAGTATGAACTGGAAAGTCTTAAATGGTGTCTAATCAGTGGGGGGCGGGAGGGGGGGCAGGGGGGTTGGCCCTGCAAGTGGCTGACCTGGGTTCAACTCCCAGCATCCCATATAATCCCTGAGCATCGCAGGATATGACTCCCCCAAGCCTCCCCACCCCCCCAAAAGTCTAACACTATTTCAATTATATCGAAACAAAACATCTGTGAAGTCCTGGAAAGACTCAAAGGGCTGGAGCACACAGGAGTCCCAGTTCTGATCCCCCTGGCCCCCAGTAAAAAAAAAAAAAAACAAACAACAAACAATTTAGAAAAAGATATTTAAAGAAGTCACTTATATCCAACTTATCCTCTTTGGGAAACTCAATTCATTTGTAGTGATTCCTTCAGATAAGAAAATACAGTGAAAGTAACTTGAGAACTGAGAAACATAATATGCTTGCAATACATTCTGTTTTCAAAGTATTTTTTGGGCCATACCTGGTGCTGCCAGAACTGAACCCAGGTCAGACACTTGCAAAGCAAGCAACTTAACTTCTGTACTCCTCTCTGGCCCACGTACCCATCTTTAGTAGCATTATTTTAACAACTGAGCAAAACCAGTCTGCCTCCTAAAACATTTAATGGAGATGCCACTTAGATCCTGGCCCCCGTGCCTGGCTGTCCTCACCGGGGCCCCTTTGAGGGGGGCAGGCTGAATTTCCCTCTCCACCCCGAGCAGAGCCCTGGCAGCTGAAGACTTCTGGGACCCAGCCACAGCCATGCTGAGACTACTCTCCACATGCTAGGACGAGCCTCACGCATGAAGGAACCGGCAGAGGAACCCAAGTGTGCAGGACCCAGGGCTGAGATCTCCAAGCCTGCTCGGATCGGGACTGGGCCTCCTCCACCCAGATGCCCCCTCTTCCAGTAGCTAGGGAGTTACACCCACCAATTGCCGTGTAACCCCACCAACGGCCAAGATTCAGAGACTATGAAACCAAGCTCCCGGAAGCTGTTATTGTCTAGTTCTCGCTCTCAGAGAACCCGGCAGGCTACCGAGAGTATCTTGCCCGCCTATATGCCTGACTGAGAACACCTGTAAAAGGTGATACGAGGCTGCTCCACAAGCCTCCATCCTTCTTGGAGAGCCCGGCAAGCTACCGAAGAGTATCCCGCCCGCATGGCAGAGCCTGGCAAGCTACCCCTGGTGTACTTGATATGCCAAAAACAGTAACAATGGCGGTCCTCATTCCCCTGACCCTGAAAGAGGGTGTCATTGGGCTACACTAGCACGTGATGGGGACGAATGGAGACGTTACTGGTGCCTGCTCAAGCAAATCGATGAACAACGGGGTGATAGCGATATAGTGATATAGGCATTTAGATGAATGGTAGGATATGTATGCTATTTAATGAAATATATTACAGTGAGGTTCTAGAGCTCTTGTTTTGGGCCATACCCAGCAGTGCTCAGGGGACCATATGAGGTATAAGAGATTGAACCCCGGTCAACTGTGTGCAATGCCAACGTCCCACCCACTTGTATTACCTCTCCAGTTCCCTAGGCTTCTTTAAGTCATGGAGTCAAGTCAAATTTACATCCACAGCTAGCTAAATCTCCCTTCCCTCACCTCCCGGGACACAACACAAAACACAGGGCTGGAAGTAGCTTAAAGGATTACAGCTTGAGCTCAATATTCTGGAGTCCTGGCTTTGATACCCAGCACTACCAGAATAGGTTCCTCTGCTCCCCAAAACCCACAAAGATGGTTAAAAAAAAATAAACACAAGACCCTTGATGCTCAGGTCTGATTTTTGGTCTATACCCAGAGGTGCTCAGGGAGTGCATGGAACTGAACCCAGGTCAGCTGTGTACAAGGAAGTCCCTCCTCATTGCATGGTCTCTCCGGCAGGTACTGTTCAGAACAGGCCATCAGCGAGGTGTACAAGTTGGCTACAGAGCTGAATCTCGCCAACTTCAAACTCAGCAGCGCTACAGAGGCATGTGTAAAATATGCACCCAATTCCAAAGAACTGGTAAAAAAATAAAAGTAAAATATCCTAATTTATTTTTGTGTGCATGAGGTAGGGGGTTGGGGGTCGGAGTCACCCCTGGCAGTACTCAGGGCACCATATACAGAGCTGAGGATCAATCTTGAGTGGGTAGCATGCCATGGAAGCACTGAAACCCCTATACTATTTTTCTGGTCCAAAAATAGGCCAAATATAAAACTCAAGTTAGCTGCTTTCCCCCACCTTTTCTCATAAGGATGTGGGGCCAGAGAGATGGGAGAGCAGGTAGGTTCAATCCCTGGCATCCCATATGGTCCCCCAAGCACCAACAGGAGTGATTCCTGAGTGCAAAGACAGGAGTAAACTCTGAGCATTGCCAGGTATGACCCAAAAAAGCACACATACACAAAAAAAACCTAACTTGGAACAACTCCAAGACGACTGAGTATGTCCCAAAAGCTAAAAAATATTTAAAAATAAACGAGTGGGGCTGGAGCAATAGCACAGCGGGTAGGGCGTTTGCCTTGCACGTGGCCGACCCAGGTTTGATTCCCAGCATCCCAGATGTTCCCCTAAGCACCGGCAGGGGTAATTCCTGAGTGCAGAGCCAGGAGTAACCCCTGTGCATCGCCGGGTGTGACCCAAAAAGCAAAAATAAAAATAAAAATAAAAATAAGTAAGTGAATGCTGTTTGTAACCAGTATGCTATTTTAGGGGATAGTACTAGTTAGTAGGTGACATCCTCTTCCCATGACTGAGCTGTCCTCCTTGGGAGGATAAAGGCCAGACCTATGGCCTAGCAAGAGTGTCTCTGAGCTCTCCAAGGAAAGCCCTCTTCAGTGACCAGGTCCTGATACTCGTGTTACCACGTGATGATACGCTGCAGTGCGGAAATACTGTTTGATCAGTCGGGCAGTCACAACCTAGAATCATGCCCGAAACAACCCTCTCCACTCCCTAGGAATAACCCCTGAGCATTGCTGGGTGTATCCCCCGACTCCAAGGAAAAAATTGCAGAATTAAAGAAAAAATCAGAACGGTATTTGATAATCATTTACATGTACAGGGATAAATGTACAAGAACCTTGCCTTCATGCTGCCATCCCAGCTTGATCCTCAGAGTCCATGAGAAGTGATCCCCAAAACAAAAACAAAATCTATCCTCTTTTCTAGTACCATTTATTAGATGTTATTACAAGCAAATGAAAAAAAAAATCATTCCTCTGAGAACTCTCCTAAGGCTCTGTATTTAGTAAGTTACATCTAAATGATTTCTTTGGGTGGAGGGACCTCACCTGGCAGTGCTCAAGTGCTCAGCCTGTTGAACTCTCTCTCTGGCCCTGGATCCAAATGATCTGTCTTCCATCGTGGTTGAAAACTAGGTCTCAGTATGGACTAACAAAAGTAAACCCCTTGGGCACACAGCTCCAGAGTGGCAGGGATAGATGCGTATTTATTCGCATAAACAGTGACATATATTCATCCATGTACCGATATGTAAATACTATTATCATTATAAAAATAAACGAGTATCTCTCCCTCACCTGACCTCTTGAAAGCTTTGTCTGTCCAAAGACAAACCTTTCTGGAGGAGGCAGAATTTGGTCTCACGCAGACGGAAAGCCTCGACTGAAGAGTGAGCGCGTTCCACATATATGCAGGAGCCCAAGGAGCACAGTTCCCAGGTTAAGTCATCATTTACCTCCCGCTCATCCAGGCAGAAAAGGCAACTTTTCACAGCATTACCTGCATGGAAAGCTGGGCGTTCTGCAGGAGAGCCAAACAGTACTTGATCCAGCATCTTGCTATTTCCCCTTTTCTCTGGTGATAAAGCTCCGGGACATCACCTTCAGTTTCGGGAGCTAAAATCATACAAGGCATGGCTGTCTAAATCAATGGCACCAGCTGTCGTTTTCATTGTTTTCATTCTTTTTTGTACTATTCTCTCCCCTTACAAAAGTAACAGATTCTCCCTGAGCAGTGGGTCCAGGATTTCACATGTAAAAATCACTGGGTCAGAGCTTTGCCATTTTCAGACCACGTGCTGGCTTTGAGGTCGCACCTGGCAGTGCTTAGGGGTCCCTGGCGCAATGCTAGGCAGTCACACAGTGCGGGGATCAGACCTGGGCTCCAGGATGGAAAGCACGTGCTAGAGCCCTCGGAACAGTCCCAATGTTCTTGATGTACCGCTATCAAATTATTTTCAACAGATGCACGCAGCCAACACGGCCAACCCGAGTTCGATTCCTCCGCCCCTCTCGGAGAGCCCGGCAAGCTACCCAGAGTATCTCGCCTGCATGGCAGAGCCTGGCAAGCTCCCCGTGACGTATTCGACATGCCAGACACAGTAACAACAAAGTCTCCAATGGAGACGCTACTGGGCCCGCTCGAGCAAATCGATGAACAATGGGAGGACAGTGACAGTGACCCAAACCATAATCAGTTTGTGTTCAATGAAAGCATTGTTGTACACTTTATTTGATGATTAGTCCTCACTGTTTCTGGACAAGTGCCTTATAGACTTCAATCAGAAAGCTAGTACATGGGCGAAGGCCCCGCATGTGGCCGACCCCGGTTCAACCCTGGAACTGCACATAGCCCCTTAGCACCTGACAAAATCAACTGTTTAATTTGATTGTGGACATTCCTTTAACTTTCATAGCTTCTATATTCTTCTGATTCATAATGATAAAACTGTGAACTTTTAAGAAAACCTTTTTCAAGAAAACCTGCTCTTTCTTTTTTCTTTTCAGCAGGATCAACTGAGAACCTCACACATGGCAGACATGTGCTCTGCCCTGAGCCACGTCCCAGCCCACCAAGAGCCACTGCTCAGGCTGGAGAGGTAATGCAGGCGTCAAGGCACACGTGGATGCAGCCCACCTCTGGCTAATCCTTGAGCCACAAGACCCCCAGACCACACAGAGCAGCCCTGCAGCACTGCCATGCGTGCCCACCCTCACCAAAAAATAAGTCAAATTACAAAATAGTTTCTGGAAAACTATGGCGTGAAACATGAACACAAACTTACCATCTTCTGTAGTTAGAATTTTTCCAGTCTGACTGAAAATGACATTAGCAGCTGACAAACAGTGTCTAGCCTCCATAAAGCACAGCTGAAGAAACAAACAAGAGTGGATGCATTTATCAGACAGCATTACTTGCAACTGATAGTTTATAGTCAGGTTAAAAAGAAAAACGGGCGGACAGACAGAAAAGCAGGTAGGGCATTTGCCTTGCATGTGGCCAAACCAGGTCTGACCCCCAGCACCCCATATGATTCCCCAAGACCAGGAGTGTCCCCCCACCCCAAAATAGGAAAAACATTAAAAAACCCACAAAGGAGACCTTGTATAGTTGTTCAAGACTAAGAACATCAAAGAGCTAGTGTGACAGTATCAGCGGGTAAGGCACTTGCCTTGTTCATGGCCTACCCGGAGTCACTCCCCAGCACCCCATACAACCTCCTGGGCATCACTAGACATGGCCCCAAAAGAAACTCAGTTTCAGAGTTCCAGATCGCTCTGAACTATTACACAGAGGCAAATCTGAGTTTCCTGTTTATTCAAATTATTTGGAATCTTGTTGGTATACATTAATTAGCTTATTTATTCATTTTTCTCTCAGAAGTTTTTAATACTGAAATGCACTTTCACCTTTCCTAGGAGATCTTCTCAATCCTCAGTGAGGTATCAGCAATAGAATTCTTTTGTTAATTCTTTCTAATTAACAAGTCTGTGAAATTCTGGTAATTCTCTGCATATGAGAGTTCCTTAATATTCTGTTAGGTGCTGCTTAAGGTTTTGTTTGTTCTGCTTCTGTGTACCCTGTGTCCCAGAACTTTATTCAGGAAAGTGATTAGCAGGAGGAAAGAAAACGCTATGGTGACAGAAACACTGCACTCAGGACTTTGATCAGAGATCTGAGCCCTGGTAGTAATGCTATGCCATAGACCAGGAGATGGCTCAGAGGGCTACAGCGGGTTCTGTGCATGCCAGAGCCCAGCGCTCAATCCCAACACCACGTGGCTCCCTGGACACTACTAGGACCGAACCCTGAGCACGGAGCACCTATGCATGTGCTCCAAAACAAAACCAGAAGAAATTCCAGCACCTTCCGTTAAACTCATGAATCCATTTTGTTATGGTCATCATCACAAAGTACTACCAGGTCTCTGTTCAGGGCACTTTTTCATCCACTGGAATCCCTTTGTTTAGCAACTTCAAAATTACATATTCACTATAATTGTAATGGACCCTTAAGACTTTAGATAGCACTAAGCTGTCTAAATGTTAATATCTAGACATTAAGGCATAATAAACAGAATTTAAGTTTCTGGGGATGGTGAGAGCCCAACAGCAAGGGATCACATGCTTTGCCTGCAGAAGGGCGGGTTTCAATCCTCAGCACTGCATGGGTGCCTGAGCACCACTGGGAACGTGGCCCAAGGCAACAGTGCATCGCTTATGTGGAACACACGTAAGGCATGAGTGCTAACTTTCATGGACTGAACCTAGGCTGGCCTCAGACGAGGCCATGGCCCTAATTACTGGACTATTTCTTCAGCCCCTCAGAGATATTTCTAACATAGGAACATTATTATAAGTGGGTTAATTCTGGAAAAAAAAAACTGAAATGCATCACATGCTTTTATCAAAGTACACATTTAACAGTCAACTTCCTCAGACAAATTCTCATATTACCAGATTACCACTGCATCAAGATAAAGCCTTATCTCCAGGAGAGAATCTGTACTTTTAAATACTATCCCCCTCAGATGAAATAAATGAGCTGACATGACTCATTTAAAGAACTGGACAAAGGTTACATAATTTTAGGGGGCTAGCAACATGTAATTAAAGATAAAACTCTATTGTAACATTCAAAAACCTCAATGCAATAAAAACGTACAAATGGCCAAATGATAGTACAGCAGGTAGGGTACTTGCCCCATATGGCAGACCCAGGTTCAATCTCCGGCACCACATATGATGCCCTGAGCACAGAGCCAGGAGTAGGCCCTGGGAATTGCCAGTTGCTGTCGAAAAAACAATAAAACATAAAAAGGTTCAAAACTGAGACACCGGCACTCGGGGTTGCATGTTTCTGTTCAGCTCATGTTATACAAAAGATGTGCTTTGAAAAGACGAATTTTCACAGTACTTTTTTATATTAATATTCACACTCCCAATAACTATTCGACAAGTGCCCGGAGCAGCTTACCTTATTGATATAGAACTGTGACAAGGTGGCAGCATTGATAGCCCACTCCATGGGATGGTAGGCATTGTGCTCAAGCTGGCGCTTCAGGGTGCTGTGGCAATAGTGCGCCGCCTTCTCAAACATTTCCATGTGCTGATAGACCTGAGCCAGGTAATATAAGTTATGTGTGTACACCTTTTCAAATCTGGAAAAAAAAATGGGTCTTGACTTAATGGCTCATTACTTATAAGGAGCATTTATACTTAATCGGATCCTCCTACTAACCCTCTGAGCTAAATGACTGTCGTAGCTATGTGACAGCTAAGTGACAATGGAGCCTCAGATTTGACCCTGACCGGGCAGGTCCAGGTCAAGTGGAGGTCAACCTATAAATCCACCTTCTACCTTCGTCTGGGTCGGGCTGGGGATCAAACCCAAGGCCTCACACATTCAAGGCATGCGCTGCCCCTGAGCCCTGCCCCCAGAGCCCACATCCTACAACCTCTCAAGTGACTCGAAGGAGAAGACTGCGCTTTTCTGGACGACTCTCCACTGTGCTGAAGCCGCTCTGGGGGCTGGTTTCTATGCCCACTCACCTTTTTGATCTCTCTTGCTCAGCAAGTTTTTCTTCTTCAGGAAGAAAGTGCTCAGTAGGATCCAGGGGAGGACTCCCAATCTACAGTTAGAGAAAAACAGAACTCAGACCGAACACCAGTGCCACCCGCTGGAGGATCTGGAGAAAGCAACACTTAAAAGAGGATCTCTTTCAAATTCGTTTCCAGGATACCTAAGACTGACTTTATTGTTTTTTGGGCCACACTCAGCAATGCTCAGGGCTCATTGCTGGCTCTGCACTCAGGGATCACTCCTGGCGGGGCTTGCAGAACCATATGGGGTGCTGGGAATCGACTATTTGAGGTTCCCTACCCAATGTTCTCTCTCTCTAGCCTCAGACTTTTTTCTTAATCATAAAATTTAAAGCCAAATTAAAAAATGATTACTTACAGATCACATCTAATAAAAATTTAAATTGTAATTCTATGTTCTAAATACATATATTTAAATGCACTTAAGAAAAAACTTACCAATTTACTTTCAAAGATATACAACCTTTAAATATTCTAATTCTTTTCTTTTTCTTTTTCTTTTTTTTGCTTTTTGGGTCACACCTGGCATTGCACAGGGGTCACTCCTGGCTCATGCACTCAGGAATTACTCCTGGCGGTGCTCGGGGGACCATATGGGATGCTGGAAATTGAACCCGGGTTGGCCGCGTGCAAGGCAAACGCCCTACCCCACTGTGCTATCACTCCAGCCCCAAATATTCTAATTCTTGATTCTCCTAAAAGGAGCTCTTTTACGGGTCAGAGAGGTAGCACAATGCTCTGGAGTGCTGGTTTCGATCTCCAGCACCACATGGTCCCCTGAGCACTGCCAAGAGCAGCCATTCCCCAAGGGCTCTTCCCCAACAGCCAGGAGGTGGACTGCTAAGCTCCACCAGTATGACCCAAAATGACAAAAAGAGCTCTTTCAAAATCCTCTATCAACATGAAAAAGAGAGGTTAAAGGAAGTCCCTAGAGTAGTATTGTTCTAAACTGACCACTAAAAATAACAATAATAATAATAAATAATCAATGGATTAGTGTGCATGCTTCCCGTGTGTGAGACCCAGGTTTGAGCCCTGGCAATGCCAGGAATAAGCCCTGAGCACCAGCAGGTACAGCCTCAAAATAAAACAATCCAAAACATCCAAGAAACTTCGATGAACTATTCTAATTATCTTTTTCTAGAAAAGAGTAAGAAAAGTAAACCCAGAAGGCAGGCATTCCATCTCTCTCTCTTTCTCATGGGAGGGGTCCACACCCAGTGCTGCTCAGGGGTTACTCCTGGCTCTGTGCTCAGGGATGACCATATGGAGAGCTGGGGATCAAACTGGGGTTGGCTGTGTGCAAGACAAACGCCTTACCCACTGTACTAAATTGCTCCAGCCCCAACAGTCAATCTCTTGTGCTTCTATTTCATCATCTATAAAATAAGAATAATAACTACCTGTTTCATGAGTTTGTTAGGAAATTAAATGAGTAAATACTGGCAATCATTTACAATTCCATCTCACATCTTCTAACAAAAGAGAAAAAAATCAAAACTCCTCAAGGTCTGCCTCACTCTACTTTCATGAGGATAATCCCATCTACAAACCCACCCTTGTTTACACTGAACCCACTAAAGCCCACTAGCCAGGCAGTCCACGAAGACACGCAGCCTAACATTCTAGAGGCAAACACCAACCCCAGGACTTGGCTCTTAGAATGCTCAGAAAGCAAAGATGACTAAGACAGGAAGCAAGGCCCAGGGCAAAGACAGAAGATAAATCATTCTTCAGAGATCTCAACTATTTTGAGGACTTAATTTGCCTAGTTTGTCTTTCTAAGAATTAATCAACGCATTACTTTATCTACATATTTCACTGTTACAGCCACTAAACTTCATATGTAACTCTCAAGAATCAAACTAATTCCTGGTGGGGGTGGGGGGTGACGGGAGGGAACCTGGGGACACTGGTGCTGGGAAATGTCCACTGGTGGAGGGATGGGTGCTGGGACACTGTATGACAAATCCACTCATGAATAGCTTTGTTAAAAAAAAAAACAACTAATCTCATATTGGTTTGTTTTGTTTATTTTTGCTTTTAACTGGCAGACTACTGAATGTAGCCTGCCCACAGGGCAGAGTCTGGCAAACTCCCCGTGGCGTACCCAATATGCCAAATACCAGTAACAATGATGGGTCTCATTCTAAAGAGCCTTGAATATAATCTCAGGGCTAGGATGAAGGAGACGTTACTGGGGCCTGCTCGAGGCATTCAACGAATAACAGGATGATTTGTGATTTTGTGATTTGTGATTTTTGCTTTTGGGGGCGGCACACCTGGCGATGCTCAGGGATTCCTCCTGGCTCTGCACTCAGGAATCATCCCTGGCGGTGCTCAGGGGACCCTACGGGATGCTGGGAATCAAAGCCGGGTTGGCCGCGTGCAAGATAAATGCCCTACCTGCTGTGCTATTGCTCCAGCCCCTCATATTGGTTTGTTATAGACATATAATTAAAAACAAACATGGGCAAGAGACAGAACAGCAATTAAGGTTCTTACCCCAAAACTAAAATATAGAAATAAGGTTTCCTGTTTATATTTCCATATTAATACTAGATTTTAATAAAATACTATAATTGGGGCCGGAGCGATAGCACAGTGGGTAGGGCGTTTGCCTTGCACGCAGCCGACCTGGGTTCAATCCCCGGCATCCCATATGGTCCCCCAAGCACCGCCAGGAGTGATTCCTGAGTGCAGAGCCAGGAATGACCCCTGAGCATCGCTGGGTGTGACCCAAAAAGCAAAAAATAAAATAAAATACTATAGTATTTTGTTATTTTCACATTTAAATGAACAAGTCTGTGTACAAGAGTTTGTACTTGTACTTGTAACATTTCAATTTGGCTTTGTGTCCTTTTGGAGAAAAAACTAAAACCCTTTTGAGGCCAGAGTGATAGTACAATGGGCCAGGTTCCCCTTACACACAGACAACCGAGTTCAATCTCCAGCACCACATAGGGTCCCCTTAGCCTGCCAGGAGCACAGAGCCAGGAGTAAGCAAGCCCTAAGCAATGCCAGATGAGACCCCAAAACAAAAACAAAAGTACAACATTTGCCCTGCACAAAGCCAACCCAAGTTGGATCCCTGGCATTCCATATGGTTCCCCAAGCACCGCCAGAGCCAAGAATAACCCCTGAGCATCGCCAGGGTGCTTAGGGTTCAGCTATGCCAGGGATCACTCCTGGTGGGACCATAAGTGGTGCTGGGGATCAAACCCAGTCAGCTGCACGGACGGGAAGTGTCTTGCCTGCTGTACTAACACTCTGGCCTCTTACTGCAGATTCATCAAGGTACACGTGTGCATTGTAATGGGGCACTTGACTATGCATTGATGATCCAAGCATTTTAACCTTGTAACAGTTACAGCATGTTCCCTTTTGTTAGTGTAGCCATTTTAATTCTGTAGAGCCTGTATTTAGACTCTCTGCGGCAACTTCTTCACAATCTGACTCCCACAAGGTTTGTTTTCCTGAGATAGGAGGGTTCCCCCATCTGACATAGGAGAAATGGACAAAGTCTGCGTCCTCCTCGACTCCTAGGTCTCCTGCTTTTAAATACCGGGCTACTTGTTTGCACATCTTCTCTACTTCGATCTGTTTTTTAATCTATGAAATATTTAGGACATTCCAACGTCTGCCATTAAATCATAATGTATACACTGTAGCGCTAACTTCTCCATTAAGAGACATGTTGTTACTGCTGTTACTGTTTTTGGCATATGGAAGATACCACGGGTAGCTTGCCAGGCTCTGCTGTGCTGGCAGGATACTCTCAGTAGCTTGCTGGGCTCTCCGAGAGGGACAGTGGAATAGAACCCAGGTCGGCCGCGTGCAAGGCAAACGCCCTACCTGCTGTGCTATTGCTCCAGCCCAATATTAAAAATATTTTATTCATGGGCCAACGAGAGAGTACAGCAGAGGGGCTGGAGCAATAGCACAGTGGGTAGGGCGTTTGCCTTGCACGCAGCCGACCTGGGTTTGATTCCCAGCATCCCATAGGGTCCCCCGAGCACCGCCAGGAGTAATTCCTGAGTGCATGAACTAGGAGTAACTCCTGTGCATCGCCAAAAACCAAAAAAAAAAAAAAAAAAAAAAAAAAAAAGAGCACAGCAGACAGGGTGCTTGTCTTGCATGGGGCCAACCCGGGTTCTATCCTGACAACCACATATACTCCCCCGAGCCCTGCTGGGGGTGAGCCCTGAGCATGGCTGAGTGTGATCCCCAAACAAAACAAAAAAATTATTGAGAATTACTGATGATTAATACTAAATACCACTGGAGTTGATGTGAATAAGTATTAAGCAGTATCACCGACTTCAAGAAATCGGCACTCTCATAAATGCTGAGAATACAGCCTGGCATGAGGCTGAGGCAGGTTCAATTCCCAGCTCCTCCTATGGTCCCCCCAGTCAGCTGGGAATGATCCCTGAGAGCAGAGCCAGGAGTAAGCACTGAGCACTGCTGGGTGTGGCCAAAAGACAAAAACACACACAAAAAAATAAAGAATTCTTCAAGCCAGAGAGGTAGTATAGATGGTATTGCACTTGCCTGCATGTGGAGGTGGGACCACCACTATGGGTCAAATCTCTTGGACCACTTACAGTCTGCCAGCACCACTGGGGGTCACTACTGAGTCAGGAATAGCAGCTGAGTACCACATAGCATGGCCCAAATCTTGGATGCGGCTGACACTAACTCAATCCCCAGAAGCACAAGAACTCCCTGAGCACCACCAGGGGTAATCCCTAAGCACAGAGCCAGGAATATGCTTAGCACTGCTGAGTGACCAAAAAGCAAATAAGTCTTAAAAAAAAAAAAAAAGACGACCATCTTTCCTTTAGTAGTCTATTTTTGGAGTCGTTTTAGGTTCCCATTAAACAGAGAGGCAGGTACAAAAAATCTTTTATGCTGACTGGCCCCACATGTGTGTGGCTCCTCCAGACCACCAATATTAGGAGGTAAAACAAAGGAAGAAAACAAAGCACAGCAATGGTTTTTGATTCCTGGGTTTGATTCCCAGCATCCCATAGGGTCCCCCGAGCACCGCCAGGAGTAATTCCTGAGTGCATGAACTAGGAGTAACTCCTGTGCATCGCCAAAAACCAAAAAAAAAAAAAAAAAAAAGAGCACAGCAGACAGGGTGCTTGTCTTGCATGGGGCCAACCCGGGTTCTATCCTGACAACCACATATACTCCCCCAAGCCCTGCTGGGGGTGAGCCCTGAGCATGGCTGAGTGTGATCCCCAAACACACTCAGCCATGCTTTCTCTCTCCTGTCTGTCTGTCTCTCTCTCTCTCTTTATGCTACCTGTGCTTATGCCTCTTTTATACTACCTGTGGGCGCAGGAAGATGAACTCTGTAGAGCTTTGGGCTAGCGGGTTCTTCTGATCGAACTTACCTACAGTGGCCCAAACAGTTCATACACATTCCATTTCGGAAGGGTACCATAAGTCAATAAATAAAAATAATTAAAAGAAACACTGCCTACACTGATGCTGTTAGCGTCAGGTACAGACTCTAGCGTTTGCAACAGTGGGTTGGTAACTGAATATGGGGGGCTGAGAAATATTTTGCAATAGTTAAAAGTTTCTGAATGCACAACAATCAAAAATTAATGGTGGGTTGGAGATAATACAGTGAACAGGGCATTTGCCTTGCAAGTGGCTGTCCTGGGTTCAATCCCCAAAATACAACATGGTCCCCTGAGCCCTCAGGAGTGATCCCTGAACACAAAGCCAGGAGTAAGCCCTTAGCACTGGCGGGTATGGCCCCAAAACAAAACAGAATTGAAAATCAGCTACAGAATAGCCTGAGTGCTTCTGGCCTCGCATTTCTCTGGCGATAGAGGTTCTAGGCAGAAAATTTGACGCATGCTATCTAGCAGATCAATATCACCATCATCTGGTAGCTGACTGAAAAAGCAAACTCTGGGCTGAAGAGAGGTAACACAGGGCTTTATGCACAGGCCTTATAAGCCATCAATCCTGATTTGAGCCCTGGTATCACCATATGGTCCCCGAAGCAAAGCTGAGACACCTTCAGAGGTGGCCCTGATGGCCCCTGTGCACCACTGGGCCCAAGCAGCACCACATCCTCGGGCCTTCACATTGAACCGCAGCCTAACTGGCTGACAACCACAAAGGGGAGCCTCTGGGCCTCTTAAACATTGCTTGGGGGGCAAAAAAAAAAAAAAAAGAGTAAAGGGAGAGGAGACAGTGCAATGGTTTAAGGAAGCACATCCCAAAACCTAGTTCAAGTCATTGGCACCACAGATAGTCCCTCAGCACTGCCAGGAATGATCCCTGAGCTCAGAGTAAGCTCTGAGCAATGCTGGATATGGCCCAAACCCAGTCCCTCCTCTCCCAAAAGGAAAACACCTGCTTTCCTTTAAGCCCTGCAATTCTCAGTGAAAATCAATATAAACGTATTAAATTACATTGGTGCTGGAGAGACAGTACTGCTGGTAAGGCGTCTACCCAGCACACAGCAAACTGGGTACAATCCCTCAGCACCCCATACGGTCCCCTGAGCCTGCCAGGAGTGGTCCCTGAGGGCAGTCAGGAGCAAGCCCTGAGCACCTCCAGGCGTAGCCCCAAAACAAAAACAAACCAAAAGAATTGTAAATGAAAATATGAAAATACAAGTACTTTAGGGTAACGTTAAAATATTTCCTATATATTTATATTCAAAGGCTGCTCTTCGACGCAACCCAAAGATTCATTTTAAGAACCCTCGGACTGGGGCTGCAGAGACAGTACAGCACGCAGGGAGCTTGCCTTGCACCCCATATGGTCCCAAGCCCTGCCAGAACCGATCCCTGAGCACAGAGCCGGGAGAAAGCCTTGAGCACCACGGGTGAGACCAGTAAAAGAACCCTAGGGCTGGAGAGATAAATGCCACAAAGGCCACTGATCCTGATTCGAATCCCAAGATAGCCCCCGAGCACTACAGAATGTGGCCCAAAATTCAAAATAAAGAACCCTGAAATCGATAAGATAATTTCAGGTTATTAGATGATCGGGCTGGAGCGATAGCACAGCGGGTAGGGCGTTCGCCTTACACGCGGCCAACATGGCCGACCCGAGTTCGATTCCTCCGCCCCTCTCGGAGAGCCCGGCAAGCTACCGAGAGTATTCGATATGCCAGACACAGTAACAACAAAGTCTCCAATGGAGACGTTACTGGGCCCGCTCGAGCAAATCGACGATCAACGGGAGGGCCTTTACCTTTTTACCTTTTTATTAGATGATCACCCACCCACTCTATAAAGAAGTCCCAAAGTATACTAACTAATGACATTAACATTATGAGCAAAAAATCCTTACCAAATTCTTGATCTGTTTTATACCAAAACAAAAGAGCTGATGCAAAACATACCTCTTTCATATACTGGTTATAAAGTGCTTCTGATGATTCTAAGTAAGCTCGTGCAGTTTCAATTTCTTCTCTTTCGGACCACAAGATACCCAGGTTATTCTGGAAAATGACAGAAAGAGAAACAAACGATGGTAATATAAATCTTCCCATTCACATTTCACAGATGTAAAGTCAGTACGTGCATAGCGCTGGAGGCTGAGCAGCAACGCTTCTTCGTCTGTAGCAGGGAAGGCAGCCACCCAAACAATCCCAAATGATCCCGTCTCCAGGTATTGGAGCCTTTTCGTAATAATCTCTTCCCTGAAGGACAGGCTGGGCTTCGTGGCAGCCTCCAACGGAGCCAGGGAAGAGAGCAGAAGCTCTTCCAAGTCTGGTGCCAAACACGGTGGTCCCCGCCTGGCTGCGTCCCCCTCCCTCGTTCTGGACGCGCGGGGCCAAGAGTTGCGCTGAGTCACCCGCGGACAGACTCACCTGGCAGGGGAGCAGGGAGGTCTGCAACCGGGCTGGACCTCGCCCAGGACCCCATGGGGTCCTCTGCGCCCCGCCGGGGGTGACCCCTGAGCCAGGAACAAGGCCTGACCACTGCCGGGTGCGGTCGGAAGCAAAACAAACAGGCTTCTCGCCCTCGAGGTCCAGCTGGGCGGGGAGGGAGCGGGGGCGCGGGGGATGCGGAGGGAGGCTGGGGTTCGACCGTGCGCGTGCAAGGCAGGCTCGATGGACCCGCTCTCCGGCCCCCAGCCAAGGACAGTCAGCATCCCTGCACGTTCCCAAATACGCTGCGACGGTGGGACTGCACCGAGCATGCTGCCCACCGGACGGACACACCGACCACGGGCCACGGGCGCGCGAGGCCGCGGGAAGGGCCAGCCTGGGGGCTGCCTGCGTCGGAACCAAGGACGCTCTCGGGGCCGGACGCGAGGCCCGAGCAGGGCGTGGATGCCCGGCCGCCCCCGCGCCCCGCGCCCCGCGCCCGGCCCCGCGCCCCCAGCACCTGCGCCTGGATGTAGAGCGAGACGCAGTCGCGCGCCAGCCGGAACCGGCGCAGCAGCCGCAGGCACTTGGCCAGGTGCTCCTCGCCCGCCGACAGCTCCTCCGTGTCGATGTGGTTCACGCCCAGGTGGAACTCGATCACCGCCAGCCTCACGGCCGCCTGCGCCGCGGGACCCTCGGCCTCGGCCGCCTCGGCGGGCAGCGCCGGCGCGGGGGGCCCGGCGGCCTCCTCGGGCTCGGGCCGCTCCTCCTCGTCGTCGGGCGCGGGCCCCAGCAGCGCCTTGACCGCCTCCAGCAGCGCGCGGGCGCCGTACTTGGACCGGTACGGCTCCTTCTCGGGGTTCTTGTGCAGCTCCACGCGGGACAGCGCCAGCGCCGCCTGGAATTTCTCGCGCACCTCGGCCCACGGAACGCCCGCCATGGCGGCCCCCGCAGCGCCGGACTCCCGCCGCCCGGCCGCCCGCTTTACGGCGCTTCACTTACGGCAGGGCCGCGGGCGGCCAATGGGATGCGCCGGGAGGCCCGCGGCGGCCCGCGGCGGCCAATGGGGAGGCGGGCTGGTCGGCATGGCGACGGTTGTCGTAGCGATGACGCCGTCAGGGCGGCGGCGGCGGGCCCCGCCCGCGGCGGGGGGGAGGGAGCTCGTCTCGGCCGGCGCCGGGTGAGCCGTTAGCTGACGTCAGTCACGTAGGGCGCGGGCCAAACAATGCGAGTTCGAATCCCAGCCCCACTTGGACCCCGCGTGGAGCCGGTGGAGGCCCCTGCAGCCCCGCAGCTCCGCAGCCTCTGGCTGCCAGCCTGATAGGACCATTCTCCTATCGGGCAGTAAGTATTTTGCTGGAGCTGGCCTCTTCGCGAACATCTCGCGGGAGCCCAAAGTTAATTTTGAAATTTTTTTTTGCTTTTTGGGTCGCACCCGGCGATGCACAGGGGTCACTCCTGGCTCATGCACTCAGGAATTACTCCTGGCGGGGCTCAGGGGACCCTATGGGATGCTGGGAATCGAACCCGGGTCGGCCACACGCAAGGCAAACGCCCTACCCGCTGTGCTATCGCTCCAGCCCCAATTTTGAAAAATTTAAAGTAACCAATACAGCCTTACTGTAACAGAACATGTGGGAACACTAAATATACTTGGCTGGGGGCCGGAGAACGAGTCCATCGAGTAACTGTGCTTGCCTTGCACGCACACGTTTGAACCCCAGCATCCCACATGGTCCCCCAAGCTTGCCACGTGTGATCTCTGAGAGCAGAGCCAGGTACAAACTCTGAACAGTATTGGGTATTACCCAAAAACAAAAACAGAGCTTGCTCTATAAGCTGAAAGGCAGAAAACCTTTACACGGTAGGTCAGTTACAATGACCTATAACACTGATTTTCACAGAATCTAGATTGTGTGTTGGCTTCCCAAGTAATAATAGTGAAGTCCTCCAGTGGTGGCAAGCCACCTCATACAAGGCTTTTCCCTGACATTTCTTCCATTGCCAAGTCAAAAGGGCTGGAATAGATGGAGGTTGGTGGGATGTCTTGTATCTGACTTGCTTCTTTCGCTTTGTGGTTACACCTGGCTACCCAGGGATCACTCCTTGCCGAACTTAGGGGACCATATGGGATGCTGGAGTTCAAAGTGGGTCAGCCCCATGCAAAGCAAGTGCTAGATCTGTTGTTTTCTCTCAGGGCTCTCTAATCTGCTCTGATTGATGTTAACTTTTCTAAGTTTTAGATTTCTGTTCCTAACCCTAAGTGATAGTACTTGAGGGCCACATCAGGCCAAGCTTGGAAGCTACTCCTGGGGACCATAGGGAACCCAGGACTCCATACAAAGCATGCACTCCAGCCTGTATCCAGCACTCCAGATAACCTTATCTATTTGGGAGGTTTGGGCCACACCCAGTGATGCTCAGGGCTTATTTCTAGCTCTGGGCTCAGGGATCACTCCGGGTGCGTCAACACTAACATATGAGGTGCCTGGGATCAAATCTAGATTGGCCTCCTGCAAGGCAGGAAACTCTCTCTGTACTACATCTCTGGTCTCAAAGGTGCCAATTTAAAGAGGCTCTTGGGCCAGTGAGATGGCTCAATGGGCTGCATGTATGCTTTGATGAAAAAATTTAAACAGCCCTTGCTAGGCAAAAAAACAAAAACAAAAAAAACTGCAATGGATTAAAGTGCATCAAATATGTTAAAATCCATGAAGTTATAATAAATCAATACTAACAATGAAAAACTCATTTCCCACCTCTGGAGAAATCCAGGAAACCTCGTTTCTCTGTTTCTCTGTTTAGAAGTAGTCCGGTGAATGAATGAAAAATTAGACACTATCACAAAAAATTGTTGGCTAGAATGCCAACAAAATTTTGGAAAAGATTCTCTTGCCACCGACATCAGATACAATTGAACATTGCCCAGTTATGGAAATAAACTCTGTCATCTACGATTAAGTTTGCTTGAAAGAGAAGGAAAAAAAAACAATAGAATCAGACCAGCTAATTATCTTTAATTAGTTCTAGCCTAATTATCCATCTTAAATGCAGTGGCAAAGTAGCTTGTTAAATAACAGATGGGAGATGACTCAGCCAAATTCCAATCTGGATAGAATTCCAGTGTGGCAGAACAAAGGACCTGGCTTAAAAAAAAATAAAAGAACTTATTCCTATACTAAGTTCCTCCCCAGCTGGGGCAGGAGGAAGGAAGGAAAGATGAGAAAGAAAAAATAATCAGAGAAACTAGGATTTAAGAAAGTTGGCTGGGTAGGGGCTGGAGCGATAGCACAGCAGGTAGGGCATTTGCCTTGCAAGCGGCCAACACGGGTTCGATTCCCAGCATCCCATATGGTCCCCTGAGCACCGCCAGGAGTAATTCCTGAGTGCAGAGCCAGGAGTAACCCCTGTGCATTGCCAGGTGTGTCCCAAAAAGAAAAAAAAAACCTGACTGGGGGCTGAAGAGATAGTATAGAGGGTACTGTACTTGCCTACACAGGGCCGACCTAGCATTTGTGTATTTCTGGCATCCCATATGGTCCCCCGAGCCCACCAGGAGTGATTCCTGAGTGCAGCCAGGAGTAACCCCTGAGCATGCCAGGTAGTGCCTCCACCACCACCCCCACACCCCCCAAAAAGAAAGTTGGCTGGAAATGTAGCTTGGTAGGAGAGGACATGCCTCACAGGTGAAGCTGAGTTAGATTACAAGCACTGAAAAAGAAAAAAATGGTACTGTATAGTGGTAGGGCACTTGCTTTGCACAAAGCAGACAGACGTGGGTTTCATACCTGACACTCCATATTACTTCAAATCCCACCAGGAGTGATCTCTGAATGTAGTCAGGAGCAATCCCTGAGCATTGCTAGGTGTGGCCCAAAAACCAAACCAAACCCAAAAAATGAAAACTTAAAAAGAAACAACAAATGCACTGTGCAGACCTCGTTGAACAGATATAATATTACCAGCGGGTAGGGCGTTCGCCTTACAAGCGGCCAACCTGGCCGACCCGAGTTCGATTCCTCCGCCCCTCTCGGAGAGCCCGGCAAGCTACCGAAAGTATTCGATATGCCAGACACAGTAACAACAAAGTCTCCAATGGAGACGTTACTGGGCCCGCTCGAGCAAATCGACGATCAACGGGAGGGCCTTTACCTAAATAATGTAATAAGGAACTAAGTGGGACAGATAAGTTACTAAAAGAAATAGCAAAATAACTTCAAATGGAAAATGTTATAATTAACTCAAATTTAGAGAAATGTAAATTGAGACAACTGAAATACCAGTTTTTACCTTTAATGTGTGTGTGAGGTGCTCAGACTCCAGGATCAGTGCTCAGGAGCTGCTCTGGGTAGTCCTGGGGGACCAGGAGGCAGAAGGGATGGGACTGGACTCAGCCTCCTGTGTGCTGAGCATACACTCCAGCCCTCCGAGCTACATCTCCTTGAAATCTGGCCAAAGTATGTTCTGTTGGCAAATTATGGGAGAACAGGAACTCTCAGACATTGTTAGTAGGAATGCAAATGGTAGAACCCTCCCAGTAGGGAATCTGCTGATGAAGCTTATGCACTTACCTTTAGATTCAGCCTTCCTCTCCTAGTTTATTCAGAAATAAACTAAAAAAAAAAATTCCTCCAACCTATGCATGTTCATATACGTGTTCCTCAGGAAATTACTGCAACTGAAGAATATTGGAAACAGTCTATCTGCCCACATGGAAACAGTGGAATAAGCTATGCGTCCATGAATCTTAATAGGATGGAACATATGCTCTCCATGCATGAGGCTGAGGTTCAAAACTTCCCTCTGCACTGTCTCCCAAGCACTATGAGGAATGATCCTCGAGCACCAAGTCAGGAGCACTACCAGATGTGGCTCAACATCTCTACATACACACACACACAGAATGTAGCTGGTAGGGTTGGAGACATAGTATAGAGAGTAGGGTACTTAGCTGTGTTGCATGCAACTAATCCATGTTTGATCCCCAGAGCCCCATGGCCCCCTGAGCACTACCAGGAGTGATCCCTGAGCAGAGCCCTGAGTACACCAGATGTAACCAAAAAATGGAAAACACACACACACACACACACCCGAGATAGATATAGTTGGAGATTGTTGAAGGAGCTGAGGCTTCTTCTGCAGTTGTCTTGAACCCAATGGACCCCCAGCACTTCTGGACACCCCAGAAGCACTGCATATGCCCCCAAAAGCTAAAGGATAAGAATATATATTTATATATAAACTGGCTCATTTGCATAGAAAAGACAAGGATAGGGCCAGAGAGAACAGAGGTTAAGGTGTGTGTCCTGAATGCAAGCTATGGTTTCCCAGAAACTGCCAGGAGTGATCCCAGGGCACAGAACCAGAGTAGCGTGTGGCCTCACCCTTCCACCCTCCGCCATACCCCCCTACTCCGGGACAGAAAAACACGGGAAGGATAAACCTGAAGTGGAACAGAATTCTTCAGGGGATGAAAAACAGGAATGTGATGACGGTGAAGCGATCAGCTTGCTGACTAGACCTATTTATAGAATTCTTTTCAGGAGTGGGGGAAGAGTCACACCTGGCCATGCTTACTCCTGACTCTGTGCTCCTGGAGGTGTTTGGGGACTGTATGGGGGGCCAGGGATCAAACCTTCGTCAGTCGCATGCAAGGCAAGACCCTTATGTGCTGTACTGTCCCTTCAGTCCCTAGTTTTGACATCAGAACCAAGTATTTGCATACCCCTGAAATAATTAAAATCAAATCTGACACTTGGACCTCACTGGCCAGATCCTGGCCTCTCTGCATGAGACTAAGATGATCAGAAGACGTGGCCCTCGCACTGCATCCCTCAGTGAGAGCACGGTGTCACCGTCTTGCAATGGCTGACACGATCTTCATCAGGTGCATAAATAAGGCAATGCTGCAGGACTGGCTGATCCTGCAGCGACAATTTTTCCCTTGCTGATATATTTGGAGGAGGATTTGGGGGCTACACAAATTCCTTCCCAAACTTACCGCCGCTGAATTTGGCACCCATCTGTGCACCTTGCCAACATCAAGTGTCATGGCCACAAACTCAAGAAAACGAAGATTCTGATCGGGAAACAACTTTTGTTTGGGGACCACACCAAAGCAATTTTCAACCAGAGGGAGGGACAAGTTCCAGATAAATTTCACTGGTGAAACATCAGTTATTACCAATACCTTTATTATGGCATAAAGCAGTATTTTATACATTAACTCAATTTTATAGTAAAAACATTTTATGTACAACTGTAAATAAACTGCTGTACAGATTGCTCCAACATAAAAATGGTTGTATTTTAAAAAGTCTTTAAATTGTCTGATACATAAATTGGAAAATATTTTCTCTTGTAGAAACAGTAAAAACGTTGACATATCCCAGGCTAGCTCAATAAGCCAAATTAAACCAAATAGAAGAATTACAGTAATAAATATGGGCTGAATTCTGGAATCCAGGATAACCTTTAGCTTCAGTTAAAGTATGTTTTCCTTAAATTTCGAAGAAACTTCTACTAACCTTCCCCGTGAACTCTTGATTTCTGCTTGTTATTCTTAAGGTTAATTGCTTATCATGGTTACAGCATCAAGGGTGGGCAAAGACCCCTTTTCTCCCCTTCCTGTGGTGGAATGGTTATTAAAACATGCTCAGGCATTTAATAGTAAGCTATAACCCACAGGCGCATGTGTTGACAGTCATCAAACACCTTCCTAATCCCCGTGGCTCGATGGGAAGTCAAGAGCAGGATGAAAAGTGGTTGGAGGAACGAGAATCATGTGGGGATGGGAAGCGAAGCCAGGGACCAAACCCAGAGCGTCGCTCCACAAGTGCTCTGCCAAGGAATCACGTATCTGGCCTCACAAATCTAGAGGATTCAAAATAGATCTGGTCGGATTCAAGGGGAACTGAATGAAATGCCAACACAAAAAGGAGACGCCTCAAGAATCTGGACTGGAGATGGCGACCGAGTCCCTTGACGCTAGGTAGTGGAGAGGCAGTTCGACAGAAAGATCCAGTTACATGAGAAGCCAGGGCCTAGATTTTAATGGAAAGCTAATAAATGAAAACAAGACCGGTCATGTTTCTGAACTTTTCTTACCAGAGTTTATTCCCTAAGAATTTGTTTTGGTTTCTGGGCCATACCTAGCCATGCTCAGGGATTACTCCTGGCAAGCTCAGGGAACCACATGGGGTGCCAGGGATAGAACCTGTGGCAGCCACATGCAAGCAAGCACCCTACCCACTTCTCTAATGCTCCGGCCCCTCCCAACACAGGATTTCTAGGAATTAAAAGTGAGCGAACAATGTATTTCTAAGTTCCTAAACCATGCATAGTTTCCCAGAGAAATATTTATCTAGCCAGCCCTATTCAATTACCTCAAAATAAGAACCTAAAAAAACCCAGACTTTTGTCTTAAAAATTAATTAAGTCTCCAGGGGCTGGAGTGATAGCTTAGCGGGTAGGGCGTTTGCCTTGCACATGGCTGATCCAGGTTCGATTCCCAGCATCCCATATGGTACCGCCAGGGGTAATTCCTGAGTGCAGAGCCAGGAGTAACCCCTGTGCGTTGCCAGGTGTGGCCCCCCCGCAAAAAAAATTAAGTCTCCAACCAGCCAAAACCGGAAAATCCTGCACTGTGTGCACTGTGATTGTAAGTAGGGGTAGGGGGCATCTTATACTATGTCTATAAATAGGAACCAGGTCTTTGAGAAGCTAAGTTGGATCTTTCTAGCTAAAATTTTCTTACGCCCATTGAAGTTACTGACATTAATAGCCCAGTGTTTTCAACACTGAAAGAATGCTTTACAGTGCGTATTCACTAATTCTCATTTAACACACGCTCAACAATCCAAATTGAGCCCACTATTCCTTTAATCCCTTCTTGCTAAGAATGTTCATTGTCCAACACGAAATTCATTATCTTTAGTCACTATTAGTCCAGCCTCCTTTGGAAGAAAGGTTACCATTTGAAATTCCTTACAGAAACTTGTTTACTATTTTTTTAAAGTCCATACATATGTAAAATCTGAAGAACGAATCACCTCATACTGAGAAGTTAAAATGTCTTAAAATACACAACAGCGGCCAAGCTTGCCCACCAGCAGCTGCATCACCATCTCCCAAACAGAGGCCGCGTGCTGGGACACACGTTGTGATTATCCCAGCCCAGCTTAAAAATTCTGCTTCGGAACGCTGCTCGGGACCGATCCTCAGGAGACGCGTTCCGGGGCCATCCGCCCAGTTGTTAGGCAGTTGCCGAGGAGGAAAGCCAATTACAGAAGAAAGCCTTGACTCCTCAAATTGCTTCTCCAAAGACTGCTGCATTCCCCACAGGTATGAGGAAAGAACACTACTGAAACACTCCGAAGTACAAAGATAAATCACCTTTGAAAGTATGGGCATGTGCGCACCTGATTTCATCCTGCAACCTACAGATAATACATCAGAATAAAACTGAATTAATGTACCTGGTCAAGGGAAAACCTGCCACAGAAGTAGAAATAATATCACTAACCATAGCGAGATGAAAAAATGAAATGAAGGCTGTGCCAAAGAAATGGGGAACGGAGACGGCAAGGAGTCGGGGCGAAACACAATGTGAAAAATCATGTTCAGTTGCCAAACAGTGCTCCAGGCCCTACAACGCCCCTGGGTTTGCCTAACCGAAGGCTTTGCTGAAACTCCGTTTCTGGCCTTTGTTCTGAAACCTGCTGCTCTTGTTGCCGCCACCTCCTCGCTGTCCCCGGAAGCCTCTGCTTCTATCCCGCTGTCCCCGGAAGCCTCTGTTCCCGTCCCTCTGGCCCCGGAAGTTCCGGAACCCTTCCTTCGGTCCCTCCAGCTCGGGCTGCTCTGTGGCCACGGACAGCTGCCAGCGCCGAGAATCGTGCCATTTTTCCTGTGGAAACAAGAGTCCGCTTTTACCTCCTTGGTTCCTCGTTAGCCTTTTTGAAAAGGGCACGAGGGGAAGGCAAGAGTGCAGTGGGCACAACGCTTTGCATGTGGCTGCCCAGGGGTCAAGCCCCAGCATCCCAGACAGTGCCCTGAGCACTACCAAGTCAGACCGGGAGTGAAACAGAGAATACCACGATCACACACATTCCCAACGGAAAATCACTAAAAATGTCTCTACAATGCCCATGTAACACACAAGAAGAAAAGCTGGATTCTACTACTGCTTACATGAAGAAAGCAAGGAAAACGAGTCAAATAAGAAAAGGGGGAAAGGCCCCAGAATTTCTTTTTCATTGTGACTTTTCAAGGCAAGTGCCTTATCTGCTGTTTACTATTTCTGTGGCCCCTATAAAAATCATGTAGGTTTGTGGGGGTGGGAAAATTTGCTTTAAAATGAAAGAATTAGGGCCATTGTTTCTCATTCTATTATTCGGTATTTTCAATAAAGAACACTCTACAATTTAAATGATTTCAAAATCCAAGAAGAGAACAATACCTGAACTTCTGTTGCTGTAGCCGTCGGGATGTCAAAACAAACACCCTAGAAACCAAAGCAAATGCCAGTTAGTTTCACTCAGTCTTTGACTTAACTATACACTGTGCATCATGTGGTATTCCAAAGGACCAAGATTTTTTTAAAAAAACATGCCAACACATCATGCCCTGCCCCGCAGAAGGCACCCTCAAAAGCCAAATGTATGCAGTTATTTGTGGGTCTGTGTGTGTAGTGCGCAGAAGGGCTCCTGGAGGTGTCGTGAGACCATGGGGTGCGGGAGACCGAATTAAAGTCGACTGCCCTCAAGGCAAGCCCTTAACCCAGACACTACTTCTCTGGCTCCAAAAATATTTTTTAAGAGACAATTATGTGGGGTGCTTTGTGTGTTACATTGGTTCCTGGTTAGAGTTCCTCCATCTCTCTTGCTGGCACGAAATCTGGGGCTTCTCCGTGCCAGGCATGCCCTCCAGCCCTCTGAGCTCCTCCATCCAGTTCAAAAGAACAAGATTTTTTTTTTTGCTTTTTGGGTCACACCTGGTGATGCACAGGGGTTATTCCTGGCTCATGCACTCAGGACTTACTCCTGGCGGTGCTCGGGGGACCATATGGGATGCTGGGAATCGAATCCGGGTCAGCTGCGTGCAAGGCAAACGCCCTCCCTACTGTGCTATCGCTCTAGCCCCAAGAACAAATTTTTGAAATATGCTAATATGGTTCCAAACCAAGGGTCTAAAACCATAAAAAATGTATTGCCTTCTATCAAATCTAATGTAAGCTATTCAGGATGACGAAACTAGAAACGGAGGAAAAAAAAATCTTGAGTTACTAGTTTGCTATCTTTCCCATCATCCTAATCATCCTATTAAAAAAAAACAAATCTATAAGATAAATAAATGAAAGCTGGAAAGATAGCTCAAAACTAACGGGGCACACAACTAGCATATTGAAAGCTCTGAGTTCTACCCCTAGCACTCCTGAACTGTCAGGCCCAGACCATCACCAGGAGTGGAACCTACTGGAAAAAAAAAAAAGCGAGAGCGCCGAATGGGCTGAGCATGTGCCTTTGCATGCAGGAGGTCTGGTTCCATCCCTGGCACCACACGGTCCCTGGCACAGAACCTGGACTGTCCATGGACAATGCACCAACAGGCGGGCCCCAAATACAAAACAGGTCAGTGATGGCCCAAAAGGCTAAGCACATGCTTTGCATGCAAGAGGCTTGAGTTCACTCCACATCACCAAGCAGTGAGGCAGGAGTAGCCCGTAAGCACTGCTGGCCCCCAATTCACAATACTGATACAAAATACTAATACTAAAATTGGGCAAGAAAAAAAAAACCTTAAAGGACATTACTTTTGAGATTAAATACTGCCACCACCTCTAATTAAGGATTCTTCTCATTTACTGAACTATTATAAACACCCTCCCTGCTGTACGATCTCTCCAGCCCTGACCCTGGTAGTTTCTGATGACTTGCTTTGGATTTCTTGGGTCATACCAGCTGTGTTCCGTTTTTATTACTCCTGGCTCTGCACTCAGGATTCACTCCTGGTGGTGCTCAGGAGCCAGTACGGGATGCTGGAGGTGGAACCCAGAGTAGCTAAGTGCAAGGCAAGCGCCCTGCCTGCTCTACCATCCCTCCAGCCCTGCTCTGGCCCCTTGAACAACAATGCTTTCTGAGGAGCACCCTTCCAGCCAGTATTTTACTCAACCAATTTTACAGCAAGCAACATGAAGTAATGACTGATTTTTCACATTTTGGGGAACCTTTATTTACATATTCTCTAAGGCACTCATGGAGCTAAGGTTAGACTTGTACCCTAAAGACACTTTTAAGTACAGAGAAAGAGGTCTCAAACATTGCTCTGAGGCCCAAAAGAGCGTTTCAGGGAGATCTGAGGCTATGCCACGTACTGCAAAAAGATACTGCAAAACGAAGAAATGCACGTCCACTCCAGAAAAGAGAAAGATGCAGAGAATGAGGAGAGGTCGCCCTACTGTGTGAGGGGTCCCAGCCAACCAGAGCCAAGCAAAGCTGCCAGGAGAGCTCCGTCTTACCTGCTTTCCTTTGAGAAAGACCATTCCCTTCACTTTGGAATCAATGTCCTCGCCCAGCTGCTCTTTAAGCTCCTTCCACGCGTAACTGATGTTTGGCATTTCAATCGAGCACTTCATGATCATGGTCACAAAGCCCTTGTGGAGAAGAGAACAAGGTTAAAAGTCCCAGCGAAACTGATAAGCCCCTGCCTTGTGTTTTGAAATTATTTCTTGAAAATTTCCTCCACACCCATAAACAGAATATTGTACATAAAAACGAACTGGCTTTTCAGTAAACTTTCTAAAAAAGAAAACCAAACCGAAACAGAGGCCCCCTCTATCTGCTGCCAATGCTCGCCTCCACACCTGCACACCCAGCAGTGCTTGGGGTACATTAAGTGCCAGGACTGAGCTCAGCCCTGAGCTACTCCAGGTCATGAGAGCTTTGGGGTTATACCCAGCAACACTCAATCACTCCTGGCAGGCCTTGGGGGACCATATGTGATGCTGGGGATTGAACCCGGCCTGACAATCTCTCCCCCACCCCGCCCCAAGTCCATGATAGTCCTGCAAAACACCGTCACTGGGGAACACTGGCAAGGGACACTAAGGGATCTCTCTGTATTCCTCTTAGAACTAGACAGCATGGCGCTTAAGGTGTTCACTTTGCATCCCATCAGCCCCAGCGCAAATCCCTGGCACCTCATACGGTCCTGGCCGCACCTTGACCTCCCCTCAAACATATACTGTGAGGGGGCACTGCTGAGCACAGACCAGAGTAGTCCCCAAACACTGCCTGGTGTGCCATCCTCACAACCCCCCCCACCCCCACTGCAAAAGAAACGAAAGCATACTATTTCTGTTTGGATGCATGCTTGGTAAGTATATTACGTAGTTTTTCTTTACTTTTTTAAAAACTAGTTTGATTACTATTTACTCTTTGGTTCCGGGGTTACTCCTGGCTCTGTACTCAGTAATCATTCCTGACAGTGCTCAGGGGACCAAATGGGATGTGGGGATAGAATTCAGGTTGGCTGCATGTGCAGCAAGCACATTACCCGCTATACTATGGCTCTAGTCCCTACATCTATTTTCACAAGTCGCCGTAATTTACATATAAGCTCACATACTTAAGGTGTAAAACTGTTGGCATTTTAGCACATCTACAGGATTTACAAAAAAACCTCCAGCTCATTTCCTTATCTTGCAATGGAGATGACAGTTGTCAGCAGTCACTGCTCCTCTCCCGGCCCCTGAGTCCCTGGTACCGCCCATCCACTTTCATGTTCTGTCCTTTATCCTACAACCCCCCCTCGCCCACCACCGTCATGCCAAAGGTGAAACTATTTGGCGGGTCTGATTTTGCCTTTCAGAACCTGTTCTAATGCCGATTGATAAGGAATCTGGAATGCGACAGGGCCCCTTACCGCCTGTGAGTTGATCAAGGAGCGCTGGTCCACTGAGGTGGCGCCTGAAATGTGGGCCAGAGCGGCGGCCAGGGCTTCCACGGCTCCCTTCTCCTCGATCAGCTTCTCTGCCGACTGTTTGAAGTGACTGATGGCCGTGGGAGGAACGGAATCCAAAAGCCTGCAATTGGGTAGACGGATTTGTGAGGAGAAAGTAGGACGCAGGACCGAAGCGTGTGTATTTAAGACCAACAGCATCTCAACGTTTTGGCTTCCCGGGGGTTCTGAGGCCCAGGGGATATGCCTAACAACATGCAGTCCTGACGATTCTGTCATCTGTCCAAGCGCAGCAATACAGTGCTGTTCAGGCCAGGGGTGCCAAAGCTGCCCGGGCTATTATGCCCAGCAGTGCTTGAAATACTGTGAGTGCAGGAACTGAATTCTTCTGAGCCACCTCCCAAAGAAAAAAATTTTATTTCTATCAAACAGGTTTTTTTAAAAAATTTCTGTGCATCAAACTCGTTTTGTTTATTTAGCCTGGAAGTTTTATCTCAGGGCCATAGAGACAGACCTGGGTTCTTCCCCCCAATATCCATTGAGCATCGCTGTGGATGGCCCCCCAAAATCAAAACGCACAAAAAAATTTTATCTCAGGGAATAAAACAGATTTTAAGGTATTTCCCTATGTCGAAACAGAGAGAGAGTACAAGGAAATGGGTGCTTGCATGGTTTTGGGGCCATCTGGCTGTGCTCGTGGGTTACTTTGGCTCTGTATTCAGGGGTCACTCCCTCCTGGTGGTGCTTGGAAGATCATACATGGTACCAGGGACTGAACCCGGGTCAGCGTTGTGTAAAGCAAGCGTCTGACCACTAAGACATTTTTACTTGATCAATGCCAAGCACACACACACACCCAGAAATAAAATGCCAAGGCATGGCTACTAACCAGGGATTTTCCTCACTATATAGTAAACGCACATTTCACAAACAGAGTCACTTCCTTGATCCCAACTCCAACTGCAGCTCCACAATCACACATTAATATTCTTACCAAACCTTAGAAATGCATGGCTCCCCACTTGGAAATCCCTGACACAGGCCGGAGGCCTAGCTGTGTGTTGAGGCGTCTGCCTTCCACAAAGTGTCCCAAGCACAATCCTGGCAGCTCTGCTGTCACCCCCAGTGCACAAGCACTGTCCCTCCCCGGCTCCCCGCCTGCTCAAAGACCTGGCTGTCACCCCTAAAATGTGCCTCTGGGCGCCATCTTAGTACACCAACACCAACAGCCGTGGTCCAGAGACGCCCAATTGAATCCCAAAACGAATTAGTGCCCTACAGAAAATGTCTCTGGAAGCCAACCAGCTACAATCTAGGATTCCAGAGGTGCATGGCCGCGGGACCCAAGGCATGCAAAATGAGCAATAAATGGACAATAAATGGACAATAAGTGATCTGATCGAGTATCTGCCTCTGGCAGGCAGGCTTGACTGGCGGTGGGAAAGTTCGAGCAGAACACAATGCCCCAAAGTAGAAAGAGAGTACTGCGGAAATTGCCTCCATGGAGGCAGGGTAAGGACTGGGATGGTGGGGGAACATTCTAGGGACATGGTGGTGGAAGTGTGCCTTGGTGGAGGGATGTGTGTTTGATCAGTGTACGGCTGAATCTGGAACATGAAAGCTCTGTAACTGTAGCTCACGATGATTCAATAAAAAAAAAAAAAGGTAATGTGGAGTTCATGCCCAATTCAATCAGCTTAACCAATGGCTGAATAAATGGGGGGGGGAGGGAAGGAGGGAGGAATGAAGGAAGGAAGACACTCATCTACATAAAGGCCCAATTCAACAATGCTCAGATGAGAAGCACCTACCCCAAATAAACTGTTCCTGAAAGCATTTAAGAGAACCTGCTACTATTAGTGATTTCTCTAATGAACACAGGATTGGGCAGGGAAGGAAGATATTACTTTGTAAAATATTTACTTCAATGTATTTTGAGTGCCTTTGTTTTACATGACTACCAAAGCCATGCAAATTATTAAAATGCAGTTTGTAAGTCTGTAACTACACCTCATGGTGATTCATTATAAATTTTTAAAAAAAATTTAGAATTATTAAAATGAAGAAAATGGAACAGCATTACTGCATAAAGCTATGCAGTAACAGAGTAAGCATCCAAAAGCCCAGAGCAGTGCTAGGAGACATACCTGATGGCATCTTTGCTGGAAGCTTTGATGATCTCTGTTGCAGAAGGAACGCCGATTCGTTTAAATTTAATTCCCTACAAGGAAACAAATCTGTTTAATGTACAATTAAACAAGAGTTTATTAGTTCCTTGCTTTTGTATAATTGGGGCAGGGGGTGCTGGGGAAACCAGTAGTGAGCTTAGGACGGATCATAACCGTATGCAGAATTGGGGAATGAACTAGGGGCAGTCGCACACCCGGCAAACACTTTACTTCCTATGGTACCGTTTCAGCCCCACAAATACATTACGTATTTATAAGCATTTGCACATCTATTCTCAGGATCTCATACAAGTAAGGCAAGTACCCTACATGGACCTACATTCCCAACCTAAAAGAAAAAAAATTTTTTTTTGCTTTTGCTTTTTGGGTCACACCCGGAAATACTCAGGTTCCTCCTCGTTCTGCACTCAAGAATTACTCCTGGCAATGGTCAAGGGATCATATGGGATGCTGGGAATTGAACCCAGGTTGGCCATGTGCAAAGCAAACACCCATTTTACTATTGCTCCGGCCCAGGATATTTTAGAATAGTCGAGATTTTTGAAAAGTTACCAAGATTGTACTGCGATCCCTTGCTACGATGTATCATTTTATTTTCCTTACTAATCGCACAATGTTACAAGTCACAACTTAGAAACAAAAGCATCACCTTTTTTCTTCTATTCTAATAGGCAAACCAGGCACTTACAATCTCTTATCCTGCCTCTAGTATGGTCTGACCTGGGAGTTCTTCCACACACGACTATTTTAAGGAGTGCTTGTCAGGTTTTCTGTAGAGCGCCATGAACCTGAGGCTCATATCTGCCACCTGCTTTCCCAGATTATAGGCTGTTTTGGTTACAAGCTGTTTTGGACAAACACAAGAATGTCCATCTCACCAGGGACAAGGGCTTACAATTGATGGTGACAACATCCAGTGTTCCTCTACTTCCTACACGAGACACACTTTCTCCCTGTCCTATTTTTCTGTTTTATTTATGGGGCATATCCAGCGCGGGTCTGGGGACCATGTGGGGTAGAGGTGATCAAACCACCCAGGTCAGCCGCATGCAAGGTAAGAGGCCTAAGCGCTGTACCATAACTCCGGCCCTCCCCATCCTCTTTTCTTTGAAAGCAAGTCACTACATAAAGTCTACTCAAGGGGAAACTGGCTAAGAAAGTCCATGTCCTGGACAAAGACCCTTAGAAGAACTTCTAAGGGAGGTAAGTGCAGTTCAATGGTAGAATTCTATTAAGGAATTAGTGGCTACTTTTTCATTTCAAAATCCATCCCTTTTGGCACCCTTCTGGTTTGTATCATAGCATGTTTTTAATCATGGTTACATGCTACAAAGAGAAATGAAAGCAACGGAGCAGAAACCCAGTATGCATGGACTCAAGCCCCAGCAGAATATAAGAACGTGTGTTTCTATGAAATCACTGACAACTGAACAGAGAAGCCAAACATTATCTTATTTGTCGATGCTCAAAATAGTTTTACCGCTTTCTGTTCCACTTGGACTAACTGATACTCCTCCTTGTGCTGGTAGAAGCAAATGCAGATCCCTGTTCTTCCAGCTCTTCCTGTTCGCCCAGAACGATGAATGTAGGACTCCACATCCTGGTGAGATGGAAACATCAAGAACACTGAACAGCAGCAACAAAGACTTGGGCAGTTCATGCAGAGCCCACACGTGACTATGTATGTGAATTTGGGGGAGAGAGCTGTTCAGCTTCAATTACAAGTTATCCGAGAGATGCTTTTCCCCAGCAAGTCTCCAAAATGCAGTGTACAGACTATTCTAACCCACTGTGCATTATACATTTCAAACCAGAGTTGCAGGCAAGTCAAGAGCTCAGCAGCCATGCTATGGCTTGAGAGGCCGAATGTGTCACTCCATAAGGCCTGTGTCAGACACTTTAGAAGCACTGGTGACTTCTGAGTCATCAGGTATCCTTACCTCACTGTAACAACCTTTACTCTGGAGGAACTTGCCACCTGAGGGTCTAATTTTAAAGTACAGGGTGTCCCTGGCTCCAACAGACTGGCTTTCTGCGCTGCCCACACCCCAGGCTCTTTCTCAGAGTCTCCCATGGGCCCTCCCTGTCTGAACTGGAGAGTCTGCAGTGACAAGGAACTTTTCTCTCCCTCCGCTGAACTCTAGTTCATGAGTTCATCTATCCTGGCCACACCCTTTGCAAATCTCCTCTCCAAACTGCACTGGTTCCAGAACTCTCTCTACTCAAATCTTTGCTCACTGACCACATTCTACTCCAGTCTGAGGGCACAGTCTCATGACAGATTCATTAAAAGAAAAAAAAAAATCATACGTAGTCCAATGCTAAACACAGTAACAAGTCTCACAATGGAGACGTTACTGGGCCCGCTCAAGCAAATCGATGAACAACGGGAGGACAGTGACAGTACCGTAATCCTCTAGAGACTGCTATTATTAATCTCATGAAAGTAAACTATTTTCATTTGTCTTAGAACCCCACAAACCCCGCCCAAAAAAGGGAAGTCATAAAAATACTTACTTTTGGTGGACAACTTTGAACAACCAGGTCAACCTCAGGGATGTCTAACCCACGTGCGGCAACATTAGTTGCAACCAAAATGCCAAAATCGCCATTTCTGAAACCTTTCAGGGTAATTTCTCTTTGCTTCTGTGGAATGTCTCCATGTAATGACTCGGCATCCTGCCAAAGAAATGCACAGCTAAGAACAACAGAACCAACGCTACAGGGCACTTTTCAGCTCGGACAGGCAATATGCCCATGTCGAACCCGACTTCAGGAAAGCACGTCATGTAGACCTCGCACACTTCACTCTGAAGCGCATGAACCACGTGAAGATCTACAGGGTCCTTTGAGGGCTGGAAAGGCACAGGCCCTGCACACAGCCACACCCAATTGCTCACCAGCATCACAAATGACTCCTGACTACTGCCAGAAATTAACCCTGAGCACAGAGGCAGGAACAGCCCAAACACTGCCAGTTACGATCCCAATCCCAAAATTAAAAAATAATTTAGAAATTAGAAGAATAAAATCATGGGTCACAGAGATAGTTCATAGATAAGAGCGCTTATCTTGCATGCAGCCAAAATTAAAAATTGAAAGAATAAAATCAGGAGCAGAGTAACAGCACAGCAAGCAAGGTGTTTGCTTTGCATACAGGCAACCTGGGTTTGATATCCGGCATTAATATGGTCCCCAGCGCATCAGGAGTAATTTCTGGGCGCACAGCCAGAGTACCCCTGAGCATCTATGGGTGTGGCAAAAAAAAATCATGGCTCAGCGATAATGGGAAGGGCACTTGCCTTGCATTCAGTCAAACCTGGGCTCTCAAACCCCAGCATTCCATAAGCATCCCAGTCTGGCCAGATGTGATCCCTGAGTGCAGAACCCTAAGTATTGTTGGGTATGGTCCCAAACCCCAAACAAATAAATTTACCATTTAGGCTTGTTAGAAGACATATTTAGGTGACAACTACTGCTTCAAATGTGCCTTCCATGAGAAAAACGCAAAATTATTTCCAAACATTAATCCTTAAGAGATCAGTATCCTTGCTTTTTTTTTTTTTTGCTTTTTGGGTCACACCCGGCGATGCACAGGGGTTACTCCTGGCTCTGCACTCAGGAGTTACCCCTGGCAATGCTCAGGGGACCATATGGGATGCTGGGAATTGAACCCGGGTTGGCTGCGTGCAAGGCTAAACGCCCTACCCGCTGTGCTCTCGCTCCAGCCCCAGTATCCTTGCATTTTTATAGGTAAAGAAAACAACACGGGGGTATGGTGCCACCAACAGGTCAACCTGTACCTGCAGGGCGAGTGCATCAGCAGCCTAATGGTCCTTCAGGCTTCCTGACATCCCCAAATTGCCACTGTGCCTTTGGCTATACCCCAACAACTTGGGACCAAGTTTACCAAAAAAATTAAATGGCCAAAAGTTAGGAATGTGGGAGCCATGCCCACAAACCACCTCCAACTCAGGTATACAAGCTCATTTATTGGCCATATCTCAAAGGTCCATAGATAAATCTCGAAAGAGACCAAAAGCCAGCTAATCTCGGACCTGTGCATGGCTGAACAGACTGGACTATAAACCAGATGGGGTGCAGGCTGGCCTGGTGACGCACCCTAGCAGAGCCTCTAGCACAGCCTCTTGCTTCCACAATCCAAAATCGCCGCCATACCCCCAGCCTGAACCCACCGTCTTAGGACGGATCTGACCAAGATAGAACCTGTTGAAAATTCGGGTATGAGGGTTTTGTGACTGAAATCTCCAGGCTTCAATGGAGTTGGGATGGGCTACCTCCGGAAGCACTGGCAGTCACCTCCACGAACCAACTCCAGTACTACCCTGTAAACTCTATTACTGGCCTTGCTTTAGAGACCCATAAGGTAAAGGTAAAGGCCCTCCCGTTGATGGTCGATTTGCTCGAGCGGGCCCAGTAACGTCTCCATTGGAGACTTTGTTGTTACTGTGTCTGGCATATCGAATACTCTCGGTAGCTTGCCGGGCTCTCTGAGAGGGGCGGAGGAATCGAACTCGGGTCGGCCGTGTTGGCCGCTTGTAAGGCAAACGCCCTACCGCTGTGCTATTGCTCCAGTCTCATAAATAAGTCTCTAAAGAGATCAAAAGCCAGAGACAAAGCAGCAAGTCCCGGAAGACACCACAGAGGCAGAGATCTCTTTGGGTCCCAATACCAAGCCAGACTCAATGGGGCACCCCAGATGGAGGAGGTGCTATCTCCCCGCCTGCTCCAGATGGAATCCCGACAACCAAGAGCTTCCACAAGCAAGGCTCGGGTATACAGGTTCTAGGACTAAATCTCCATGCCACATGGCGGAAGAGGTGCTGGGCCATCCCTCCCTGGCTCCCTGCCCGCTCATCGGCCTGGCTGTCACACCCACAATGTGCCTCCAGTCCTCCATCTTTTAGTGCACCAACAGCCTTGGTCCAGATACACCCAAAATGGACTCGTGCCCTACAGAAATGTCTCTGGAACCCAACCATCTACACTCCAGGCTTCCAGAAGTGCACGGCGGCAGATATCCAAAATGAGGAATGGACAAAAAATGATCTAGCATCTACCCCTGTCAGGCAGGCTTGAATGGCAGTTCGAAAATTTGAGCAAAACATAATGCCCTAAAAGTAGAGAGAGGGTATTGGGGAAACTGCCTGCTATGGAGGCAGGATTAGGACTGGGATTGGGGGGGAGGGCGGAGATATTCTGGGTACAGGGTGGTGGAAAGTGTGCCCTGATGGAGGGATGTGTGTTCGGTTATTGTACGGCTGAATCTCGAACATGAAAGCTCTGTAACTGTATCTCACGGTGATTCAATTAAAAAAGCAATGTGGAGTTCATCAATCAGCTCAATCAGCTTAATCAACTGCTGAATAAATAGCAGTACCCCTGCATTATAAAAGAAGAAGACAAAAAAACCAGAGTGATGAAGTCTATTTTGTTGGTTCGTACTGCTGGCTGAGTACACTCCCTCCCGAGGGAAAGGGGGAGGAAAAGACCAACCTGCTTAATGGATGAGCTCTGGGACAGCTCCTGTGCTTCTTTCTTGGTTTCAGTGAAGATGATGGTGCGTCCATTGAACCCGCTGTACACTCGGATCACGTCCCCAATAACTGCTGCCCTTTGGGTCCAGTGACACTTGATGGCCAGATGCTGAGGAAAGAGGACACTTCCATTACTAGCGCTGTGCGGAGACATGCAGTCACCTGCCCACCCACCGTGGTCCTGAGAGCGAGCATGGAGCCTGACTCGGGGAGCTGCTGCTGCACTGTGCAGGGGGGCAGGAGCCGGCAGCCAAGCCCTGAAGCCCTTCCCCCTTCCTCCAACGGGCACTGGCTCCTTCATTTCCTAACCAACAGGGAATGTAGACGAAGAAATGCCACTTCCTAGTCCTGCAGTCAAGTAAATGAGTTGAGATTTTTTTCTGTATGTTGTTTTTGGGTAAATGTTTTCTCACCCTGATCCATTCACTTAATAATGGTCAATTGTCAGCAAGGTCAATTCTTCAGTATTCTGAGTTTAGAACTCCTTGGCTTAGGTAAAGTTCCTGAGAGCCATCCATCCAGTCTTAAAAAACCCAGATCCCATGAAGAAAAAAATGGATTCAACACAAAGAATCCGTTTCTCTGTTGCCCTTTGGTGTTTGTATTCTAGGTATGATTTCTTTCTGCTTCTCTAACTCAGATTTTAAGATCAGGAGATAAGATCTGTGAAATTCATACAGATCTCAAGCAGAGTATTTTCCTTGTCCTTCCATTCGGATTTACCTCCTACCTTCAAAAGTGGCTTGGAGTTGCTAGTGGTAATAGAATCTAATAGGGGGAAAAACACAAAATTTATTACTAACGCCCCCAACTAACTGGATCACGTACCTCCACGGTTATTGCCGCTTTCTGAGTCTTTTTACCGATCAGGTCCACCTGTTCATAGGACGACTTCATGTACTTCTTAGCAACGTTAAACACCCAGTGAGGACACGTTGCAGAGAAGAGCAGTGTTTGGGGATTGTCTTCCGAATCTTAGGTGGGGAGGGAGGAGAAAGGCCAGCATGAGTAATATCAACAACTTCCACAGCAGGTCTTATCCAGCTCTCCAACATCCCACAGCAACCACTTGTGGCCAAGCCTGGCAGTAAGGAGGAAGGCAGATGCAAAGACACACTGGCAAAATAATTCATGTTCAGAATCCCTGACACCGGAGCTAAGGAGATAATACAGCGGGGAGGGCTCTTGCCCTGCATGTAGCCAACCCGGGTTTGATCCTCAGCATCACATATGGTCCCCCAGCACCACCTGAGTCAGGAAAATCACTGGGCGTGACCCAAAAACCAAACCAAACAAAAACAAACAAAAAAAAGGACTTTAAATAAACAAATCTTATATGGATTTCTGTCCATTACCTTTGTGAAGAAAGGTTACCGAATGTAGCCTGCCCACACGGCAGAGTCTGGCAAACTCCCCGTGGCGTACCCAATATGCCAAATACCAGTAACGATGTTGGGTCTCATTCTCCTAACTCTGAAAGAGCCTTGAATTTGGCACTTTTTAAAAAATCTCAGGGCTAGGACGAAGGAGATGTTACTGGGGCCTGCTCGAGTCAATCGACGAATAACAGGATGGCCGTGATCGTCGTGACCTTTGTGAAGCATGAGTGAACTCATGATGATATCCTCATGTATACCCACTAACCAAGTTCAGAAAAATACGCAAATAATCTGCAGTGAATACCAGAACAAATTCTGCGCTCATTTATACGCTCTAGGATTTATTTCTTTTTCTCTTAGGAGGATGTCTGTGCCCATACTCAGCGGTGCTCCGGCAACCCTGTAGGGTACCAGAGATTGGACTGAACCTGGGTTAGCTGCAAGCAAGTTAAGCACTCTACCTCCTGCACTATTTCTCTGGCTCTGCATTTCTTTACTATTTGGGGAGGTTAAGGGGAAGTGAAAGCACCACAGCCAGTGACCATCAGGATTTACTCCTTGCTCTGTGCTCAGGGACCACCCCTGGTGAGGTTAGGGGAACCATGAGGTGCTGGAGATGGAACCTGTGCCAGTCATGAGCCAGCCTTACCTGCTGTGCTCTCTCTACAGTTCCCTGCTCCAAAATTGTTTAGAATTTCAGTTTAAGTTTTTTGGAGTCAGGTATAAAATAGTTCCCCAGCCCTAATTTTAAAAATTTTGGTCTGCTGGGGCTGAGCGATAGCACAACGGGCAGGGGAAAAATCGGCAAAAACCCGTTTGCCTTGCATGCGGCCGACCTGGGTTCGATTCCCAGCGTCCCATATGGTCCCCCGAACACCGCCAGGAGTAATTCCTGAGTGCACGAGCCAGAAGTAACCCCTGTGCACTGCCGGGTGTGACCCAAAAAGAAAAAATTTTGGTCTGCGCTGAGAGTAACATTGCATATTCATATATTTAAAATGGTAGCAGGAGCTGATAGAACAGTTAAAAATAACTTGGCATGGGCTTGAGGGTAATACAGCAGGGAGGGCATTTGCCTTGCATGCGGCCTGCCCAGGTTCAATCCCCGGCATCCCATATGGTCCCCAGAGCACCGCCAGAAGTAATTCTTGAGTGCAGAGTCAGAATTAACCCCCGAGCATCGCTTGGTGTGACCCAAAAAGCAAACAAAAAAGAGTAACTTGGCATTAACATTTAACCTTCCAATTTGGTGATTTCACATCTGTAAATCTAATCGAAAAGACACCAGGCTCACTGTGATAATACAGAGGTGAACATGCTGGCTTGCTTGCATGAGGCCAGGCCAGTCCAGTTAGATCCCTGATACCACAGACAGTCTCCTAAGCACTGCCAGGGGAATGATCCCAGGGCACTGCCAAGTATGGCTCAAGATTAAAAACACACAATTCCTAACAAGGTGTGGAAAACGCTATCTGCAATCTATTATGTTCAAAGGAATATAAACTAGTGTGCTTACAGAATGCAATTGTATAACAAATACTTTAATTAAAATATAACTAAACAACATTGTGCTCTATCTCAGGTCCAATAAAAGTTAAATATATGTATAATTACATATAAAATTAAAATGTGTAGATGAAATAGATCATGACAGAAATATGCCATTTTTATATATACATTAAAATATATATAATAGCACAAAGTCAGGAAGAAATACAACAAAACAGAAGTTGGTACAGTATGAAATTTTTCTTTTACTTTCCAATCTCCTCTATTCAATTATGTGACGCGTCGTGGCTTTTTTAAAATCAGATTTTGCTGAATTGAGTCTCCGCCTCCTCCTAATCTCAGAGATTAGTAAATCACCGTTCATCCTCCCATCCTATTTATCAGTTCCTGAAACTTGCAGTTTACCTTTCTTATATGCCACACTTAATATTTCTTCCACTTGATCGGCAAATCCCATATCCAACATCTGGTCAACTTCATCCAAGACAACATGCTTCAGTTTGGTGAGATCTAACTTGCCGTTCTGTAGGTGGTCTTTGATACGACCCGGTGTCCCAACCAGGATATCAATCCCATTCCGCATGCGTTCAACTATGGAAAACACAGAAGATATGCTGAGTCTTAAGTTCTTTCAGTAGTCTGAGACACCAATCACAGATATTTTTACCCTAAAATACTTATTAGCTACAAGTACCAGGTAATATGCTAAGTAAGGAAACTCAAGAAATTTTATTATAGTAGGGAAAATAAAAAATGACAACCCAGCGCATTTCATCACAAAATGGTAATGGTAGCACAAGGAAAGACACAACTTTCTTTGCTGGTGGAAAGTGTGGAGGTTTCACAAGGTGAGATTAAGCATTAAGGAGGGCCTGGGATATGGCTCAAAGGCTGGGGCAGATGCAGGAGCCCCGAATTTGAGCCTGGTACCTACCACATGGTTTCCTTCACCCAGCTACCCCCAGGAGAACACCCACACCAAAAGAAAATTTTTTTTTTTCAAAAGAAATTTTTTTAAATTAAAAAATAGGGCTGGAGAGACGATACGGGGATCAGGGCAGCACGAGAAGCAAATCCGGGAGCCTGGCTCAAGTTCAAGACAGGTGTCCCACCCCGCCACCACTGCCAGACACTACTCCAGGTGCCCAGCAGCACTGCATCCTCAGGCCAAGCACCTAGTCGTCCATCCAGTTAGCAGCCCCCAACCCCCCAATTTAACAAATAGTCTGCAGGGATGGAGATGTGGTTCGGTGGTAGACAAAATCTTGCAAGATTAATAAGGCCCCGGGTTATGGGTTTGATTCCAAGTACTACCTCCCCAATGCCCCCCCAAAATTGCCTGAGATGGGCTGAAAGGACAGAAAAATCAAGTCAGAAGTAATTTATAACCACAAAGCTTTACTGTGACCAGAATCTAGATTCAAATCCAGGCTGCTGTGATGCCAAATCCGATCTTACATTCAGAGCGGGAAATAATCACAGGTCCTGCAAGTCAATGCTAAAATGCTACCGATTTAAAGACCTTCCTGAATTAAGCTATCTGCTCTGCATACTGAAAACCTCAAGGCCTCGAACTGAGAGAAATAAGAATACTATGTAACAGGGGCAGCAATATTCAGCCTACAGAGGAAACAACAAAAAAGCAAGGTTGCGATTGTAGTCTGTCTCCTTGGGTCCAATAATATGCCTTTCCTTTTTTTACAGGTATTAATGAAAAGAGGTAATACAGGAGTTCAAAAAAACTACATACAAATTTAACATTATCAATAAGATCATCTCTAAACAATAATGAATCCAACACAAACAGTAAACTCAATTTTCAAGATTAGAGGAAATCCAGCAAGGACATTCAGCCCAGGATGGCTTTTGCAAACTTCTTTTCTGCATCTACTTACTTTGACCTCCATAAGGAGTTCCACCATAAAAACAAGCCACTGCCAGCTTTTTCGTGATGTCACTGAAATCTCTGCTCACTTGATTTGCCAACTCCCTTGTGGGTGCAAGAACCAGTACCTGAAAAGGAAAAGGGAATGCCGGAGTTTAAAGTAGTACGCAGTATTAGCTTAACAAGCATGAACAACAAATATGGAATTCACCAGGAAGTTAAAAACTCACTCTACCAAGCATTTTCAAAATATCTCTACGTGCTACACAATCTGGAGACATGACACATCTACTCAGAAGTTTGTGGCAATTCTGAGGAGCAGGTACCCAAATAAATGGTGCTCCAAGAGGGCCGCAGTGAGCGGTGAGAGCTGCGTGGAATAGGAGAACTGCATCCAAGGAAAGGGACAAAAACACTAGTGATGGCATTAGCTAAATGAACTCTGACCGTATCTCAGACTACCAAATCCTCAGCATTCATTATTCTCATTATAATGTTCAGAACCACCTTTGGAGGCCACTGAAGTGAAAAACCAAACAACATTCATCTCTGGAACTTAAAACTGTGTTCCACCTAATAAAGGCTGTGGAGCCAAGCCTGGTCTTTAACTCAAGTCACACTCCAAAGCCGCTGGCCTGAACCTCTACGCTCTGTTGAATGAACGCAGAGAAAGTCAGCAGGACCAAATGGTAAGGGGTTTTGAATTCCAGAGCGGTCCAAGTTTCATCCATGAGGACAAACAAAGCCACGATGAGCCCCAAGCAGAGCAAAAACCTAAGAGCACCATCGAATTCATTCATTCAACAGGTACTCAGTGACATAGGTGCAAAATATTTACTGCCAGATTTACTGAGGGAGGAGACTAGATACCGAGTCAGGTGAAAGTAACACAGGCGTTTCTGAGGGCACCATTCATCACCACCAGGTTCTCCAGAAATGCATCTCAGGAGCACCACCCTAACAGTGAGCTTAGTCTCTTGGCTTGAGTATCCCTTCTTCTCATGCACCTCCTACTAAAAATCCTTTCTGCATAGAGATGAGAATGGCAAAAAAAACCCTTGACCAAACCCGGAACCCCAAGGACATAGAATAGCTTGAAAGAACATGATGAGCATTAATACAGCTGATCACAACCACGAGACAGATTACAATATATAAATGTAGGAATTTGGGACCAACAGCCTTCAAAGAATTACCCTGGTCTTCCTTCAGAAAAAGATCTACAGTCAACTTCCCTCCCCTCCAGAAAGGCTTTAAATGAAACCCCAATAGGGAAACGCAGAGCCCTTGAAGGAGAGAGATGGGTACACTGGTGATGGGTGTGGTGTTGGAACTATGTGCGTAAGAGGCCATTATTGGGACTGGAGAGATAGCACAGCAAGTAGAGCTTTTGCCTTGTAGGTGGCTGACCTGGGTTCGATTCCCAGCATCCCATATGGTCCCCCAAGCACCGCCAGGAGTAATTCTAAAGTGCATGAGCCAAGAGTAACCCCCGTGCATCACCAGGTGTGACCCGAAAAGCAAAAAGAAGCCATTATTAAAAGCAGCGAACCATAGAAGCTCAATTAAAAAATTTTGGAGGGGAAAAAAAAGCATGTGGCCAGGGAGCTAGGACAAGGGCTGGTAGGTGTGCTTACATACTTCTGACCTGGGCTGATAACCGGCACAGCATGGACTCCCAAGCATCACGTGGTACAGCCCTGAAGGCCCCTGCATCAGAGTATGGCTCTGATAGTCCCCAGCACCTGAAGGGCCTGAGCAGCACCGCATCCTCAGTCCCAAAACTAAGCCACAGGCTTTGCTGAGTATCCTGAGCCGAAGGAGCCTCTCCTCACCCCACTCCCTAATAAGATTCTTTCCTCTGTAGATTTAGAGGCCCTTGTACTTAAGAGTTACCTGAGGGGCACGGCCTCTCTTCCGGTCTTGCAGTTCTCCCAGAAGTTTCTCGATCAACGGGATGGCAAAGGAGAAGGTCTTGCCAGTTCCTGTCCGTGCCTGTGCAATTAGGTCCTTCCCACTATAGACATGGTGAAATGTCTTTGCTTGTATAGGAAACAGGAATGTCACCCCACGTGCTGTAAACAAAGGACAGGTGTTATCTGACACTGCAGCTCTAAAACGCCAATCCCACTGGTGGACTGAGGCACCCCCACACTGCTGGTCCTACAAAATTAAAGAAATTCTACCTTCTAGGCAACATCGAAAAAGTCACATCAAACATTCTGTAGTCAGGAATCTGCTTTAACTTCATGAAAGTTGTCAACAAACTGTAAAGTGCCGTATTATCATAAATATTTATATTCTAAGAGATTAAACTACTTGTCATGAAGTCTCATCAGCACAAGCAAGAAAATCAGATGCTCTGAATCCAGAGTATGCCAGGACTAATTTTAAAAACAGCTAGAGGGCTGGAGAGATATTACAGGGGTCAAGGCACTTGCCTTACATATGACCCACCCTGGTTTGGTTCCTGCCACTGCATAAGGTCCCAGAACACTATCAAGAGTGACCCAGAGCAAAGAGCTAGGAGTAAGCCTTGAGTACCAACAGTGTGATGACCCCCCTGCCCCCACAAAAAAATACAAGGGCTGCAAAAATAGTAGAGGGTAGGGTACTTGTTTGTGCATGTGGCAAACCAGACTGGACCCCAGCACCCAATACGGTACCCAGAGCTGTAAGCACAGAACCTGGCGAACAGTGCTGGATATGGCAAAAAAGTAGAACTTGAAAAAATAAATAGCGCTCCGATAATTTTAACATTATACAGTATTTCTAAAAACAGTACCTTTGAGAAGTTTAATAGTATCTTCAGATATGGGAAAGTTAGAGAAAGCGCCTTCTTTTTGTTCCACAGACATTTCCTACAAAATTAAGGACCACAGAAAGAAATCAGTAACTTTATCCCTAAAAGATAATATACAGAAACCTTCTGAGAAAGAATTTTTCCTTAAATATGATCTTCAAAGAAAACGCATTGCAATTACCCATAAAATCTTAGTAAAACTAAGGGGCGAGGACTGTGAACTGGTGGTAGGGCACATGCTGTGCACTTAGGAAGCTCTGGGTTCAATTTCTAACATTGCAAAAAAGTAAACAAGAATGACTGAATTAAAATCATTCTAAGGAAGCAACAAAATTTCATCAATACTTCTGTAACCTGAAAAGGAGCATAGCCCTTATTGAAAGAACGCTGAAACTCCCAGGAGGCTTTTTCTATTCAGTAATTTCCGTTTCTGAATTCCCTAGTTCAGTGTTGCTGACACCCTTTATACCTGCACGTGGCACCTGTCCTAGCACCAGTCCAGATGGGCAGTGAAAGCCAAGGCAGCGGGCCAGAAGGTTTAACCGCTGTCACCTGCTGACCAGCACTGGTCCAGGAATAGTGGTTGAAGGGGGGGAGGAGCAACTGTCAAAATGTTGATCGTGGGGCCAGAGGCAGTCTAGGGGTGAAGGCAGATGCTTTTCATGAGGCTGACCATTCCCCCTAGTACTTCTCAAGTGGGCCAAGTACTCAAGCACTCGAACCAAACCCCAGCCCAAGTGTGCTGGTGGGAACCCCAGGCTCCCTAAGTGCCACTTGGGAAACCCCTCCAAGCCCCTCCCTTTTTTTCATTTCTAGACACATAATCATCCTCTTCAATGAACAACCTCAATAAAATAACTCAATTTTCAGTTGTTCCATTTACTGACCCAGGAAACCCTTCAGAAAAAAACTAGGAAGACAGTTGCATATAAGAAGCAGGACAAATGTGGAGGGAAGACTTTCCCGGCCCACTGATTTGCAGAGTACTATGATGCCAGGTGAGACTGTTATAAAATCTCTGCAACCCCAAGGGACCCCCCCCCCCCCCCCCGCACACACACAGAGCACTCCCTGCCACCAGGTGCTGACATGTCACCCCTCTTCAATTACTTTCCAACATTAATGCTGTGTGTGACAATAACATTACTTATCTGAAACGACACATGAAAACAGAACTTTACCTGCTCTAACTCGGGGTTACTTTCTTCACTGGCAGCTTCGCTGGAGTTAGAATCAGGTCCAGAATGAGGGAATCCATTCTTTATTTTGGGACTTTTCTCCCCAACTTCTCCATTCATCTCTTTTTCTTTCTTCATCTTTTTGGGCCTAGGAGTTTCTATTTCTTCTTCGGAGGGCTCCTCGATTTTTACCTTTTTGGTTTTAGGAGAATTAACATTCTTTTCTACAGACTCCTTTTTCTTTTTCACACTTTTGCTTTTAGGAGACATGTCATCTGGAGAAGGCGACACGTCATCTGGAGAAGGCTCCTCTTTCTTTGTTGCCTTTTTGGACTTAAGGGAACTGATTTCAACCTCAGAAGGCTCTGCTTTCCTTTTAATTTTCTTAGCTTTGGGAAAAATGACTTCTTCCTGTTCTTCTGCCTCTTCAATCTTGTTAGGCTTTGGCTTTTCTTTTTTATTTTTCTAAAAAATAAAATAAAATCCAAACATTAAATTTCCATTCCATTCACTACAACTCTGGTAAATGTCACAGTAATATGATAACAAACACAACTGGAGGCATTTCCCACACTTGAATCTTCATCTTGCAACAAGCAAAATCAACCAGTCTAATGTTTTTTTTGGGGGGGGGGGCCCAGGGCTGACTCTGTGTTTAGGGATCACTCCTGGCAGACTTGTGGGACCATTTGGTAAGTGGGGAATGGAATCTGGGTCATCTCAAGTACCTTGCCCACTGGACTATCTCTCCAGCCCCCTAATATGTCTTTTTTTAAAAAAATTTTTATTAGTGAGACATCATGAGGCACAGCTGTAGACTTACAAATTTTTGTTACTATGCCTTTTTAAGTCCCAATTCTTAAGCCACTTTGAGACAAACAATGTAATGAATCACTTCATTTGTATGTTGGAAAATGCCTTCCATCCAACTCTGGTAGGATGGAACAGGTCTTACAATCAAATTTTCCGAAGATATCTAAGGTGCTGTGCGGGATGCACCAACCAGCCAAATTTGCTCTATACCAAGTGCAACTAAAGAAAGTGACCAAATACAATTCAACTGAAGGGTGACTAATCGGGTTGTTTCTAGTCACAGCTAGCTAAGATTTCCTTCTCTGCTAAAATTCCTGCAGGTATCTTGCCCATTTCAAAGGTGCACGTGAATTTCCAGAGGCCTCACAAGTTTGGAGAACATGAAATAGGCGAAATCTCAGAACCAGACCAGGCTCTTACCTGGGATGCCAGACCCTCTGTAACTTTTTCAAGTGTTAAGTTAGCTACTTAATATCACTGAAAACAAAGTTGTTGGGAGCAGTTCAAGGCTCTCTGGTGGCGCTCCAGACCAATTCCAGAAGCACAGGAGCTTCCCCCAAGCCTGAGGTTTGCAGTGGCACTAGGTTCTCAAACTAGGTTCTCAAACTAGGGATTAAAGGGCCCCCATCCTCAGACATTGAAAAAATAACCTGGCTGCACCCTCCTTCCACAACCCTTCAACTGGTTCCTCCTTTAGATGCAATAATGAATTTCCTATGAAGAACATAAATCATGTCTTTTGGAACATAAATCATGTCTTTTGGAACATAAATCATGTCTTTTGGAACATAAAGGAAGTTTTGCTAAGAAACTCCTAATTTGCCAAAGTAAACCAGGGCCACTTCTGCGCGAAACATCGCTGTTCTACAAGCTCCTCATCAAAAGACCCAGAAAAAGCAGAGAGAGGGAGAGAGAGAAAAAAAAAGACTAAGTCACAGCCTAAGCTCGGAGGTGATCTTTGTTCCCGGAGACCTTATTTCCGAACACGCTCTCGAGGGCGTGTGAAGCAAATACAGCAGCTCGCCTTGCACGCAGCTGACCTGGGGCCCATTCCAGGCACCCCATATGGTTCCCTGAGCATCGCTGGGGGTAGCTCAAACTCACCCCTCCCGCGGGGGGAAAAACAAAAAAAAAGCCCTAAACAATACCTAAAGCAGCAATAGCAAGGAGGAGTTATTAGGGCACACACACTACTGCTCTCCATTAAAAAAAAATATATATATATAAGTTTTTTAAAAAAAGTGGTGCAATTAGCACACTTTTCAAAAAAAAATATTGCCACGCGAATTCTGGTGCATGAATAGCAGAGAACCCGGATTTCTTCATCCCCTGCACCCAAACACTCTCCCTCCCGGAGGGGCAGATGCCCCGGCAGGCGCCACCCACGTGTGCCCGCCGGCCCGAGCGCGCCCTCCACGCACGCGCACGCCCGGGCCGCACGCCGACCGCCCCGGGGGGCCCGAGCCGGCCGGTTCGGGTCCGCAGCCCGCGACCCCGCGAGACGCCGGCCTCGGGGCTCCAGCTGCCCGCGGGGGGCGGGGGCGGCCCCCGGCCGGAGCCCCCACGCGGCGCGCGGAGCCCGCCGGCCCCGCGCCGCCCGCCGCCCCGCGCCCCCGCTCCCGCGCTCCGGCGGCCCGGCCCGCGGCGGCACCTTCTCGCTCGGCCTGCGCGCCCTGTCCCCGCTGCCCATGGCCCCGTCGGACTCCGAGGCCGCGCCGCTCCGCAGTCTCCCCGGCATCCCTCGGCCCCGGCAGGTGCGGCCGCGCACTCGGTCCACCGCGTGGAGAGGAAGAGACCGGCCGGGCCCGCCCGCTGCCGTCACTTCCGGCGGCGCGCCGCTTCCGGCGGAAGCCGGAAGGAGGAGCCCGGGCGCCCGGGCTCGCTGAGCGGCTTCGGCCCGGCAGGAAGGCGCCGCGGAGGTTCAGCTCTTCTCGGTTCCGATCGATCGCTTGCTCGTCGATTCTAACCCGAGGCCGGAGGGAGAACTGCACGGTCTGGGCACCCAGAGGACCTCCGGGACCCACCCGACCTGAGTCACAACCGGCAGAGAAGGAAATCGAACACCGGTCGCTTAAAAAGCGCCACCTTTTCAGTAGCCGAGAAGTTGCAGGGTTCTTTTACCACGGAGAAAGTTTTGTTTGGGGGCCACAGCCGGAGGGGATTAGGGGCCACTAGGCTCAGTGCTCTGGGCGAGCACGTGGTGCTGGAGCCTGCATGCAAAACTTGGCTCCAGCCTTCCGAACGCTCTCCTACCCAAGTCTGTGTCCTTGAGAATCATGTGGAAACCTCCCTCATGGAATGGGGGCGCACAAAAACATACAAGCAAATTGAGTATGGTCATGTGTGGGGTTTTTGTTTTTCTAGAGGGGCTTTGCATTTTGGGCCACACCCGGCGATGCTCAGGGGTTACTCCGGAATAACTCCTGGAAGTGCCCTCAAGGGGACCGTGTGGGATTCCTGGGATCAAACCCAGATTGGCTGCATGCAGGGCAAACGCCCTCCCTGCTGTGCTCAGGCCCTGGTCATTTGTTTTTACTGTATTTTAGTTTTTTTATGGGGGGGGGGGGATCTGGGGAGGAGGTTGCGAGAAATACTGGGCCACATCATACAGTGCTCTGGCTTTATTCCTAGCCCTGGGTTGCTCTGGGGGCTGCATTGTGCAAGGCAAGCACCTTAATTCCAGTCCTACCGGACATTTTTAACACTTTCTAAGGAAAGTTTTCAAGGGCAAAATGACTGAGGTTTCAGACCATTTTTGATATACACCGGGAGCTGTAACAATAGTACTGTGGGTAAGGGTGTCTGCCTTGCACGTGGCTGGCCCAGGTTCTATCTCTGGTATTCCATAAGGTCTGGAGTACCACCAGGAGTGGTTCCTGAGTGCAGAGCCTAGAGTAACCCAAGTACCACTGGATGTGGCCCAATGCCCCACTCTCATCACCACCACCAGATGTTTATGTAAATATGCACAGTACCTTAATTTATGCCAATACTTGACACCCTTGTTCATATCAAGACAGTGCCTGGTACAAATAGTCACAAGATGCTAATCGATCATAAAATGTCATATGGGGTGTAGGAATTCCTTGAAATAAATTTGCTTTATATGCCCAGGCAGAAAGGCAGTTATCGGAGAGATAGCTCAAAGGAATTGTGGAGTACACACTTTGTATGCAAGAGGCCAGGGACCAGTCCCCAGCATGGAATGGTTTACCCACCAAGCACTGCCAAAAGGGACCCCTAGAGCTCAGGGCTGGGAGTAGCAAGTGAGCACCTCTGAGTGTCAGCCAAAAAAAACAAAACCACTCTGCTAGTAAATGTGAAGTGGAGCAAACATGACTGCAGTCGTCTAGTTTATTTCAAAGGCCCTGTCCTTGCCTCAAAGCAGCTACAGTCTGCTTGATAAAACCACAGAAGATGACAGGATATTGCCCTATGTGATGTTGCTGTCAGTATGATACGGGGACATGTTTCTTATCACTAAATGTTTAAAGAAAGTTACTAATAAATCAAAAATTATCACTATATATACAGCACTGGAATTTCTTGGTAGCATATCCGCACATGGGCACAGGCTCAAATTTCCAAAAGGAAACATGTTTAAAAGATCCTTTTTGATTCAAAAGTGACCAAACTGCTGCTCTAGATTTAGTCATCTGTATGAAATTAATAGAAGAAATGGGTCTAATAAGAAAGTGAGGTTCTACTTGAATATTGTTTTTTCAAGACTAATGCTAAGATTCTGGGTAGTTTTGTCCCCCCCTTCCATTTGCTTCACAATTTTTTCACATTTTCAACAATGGATATTACTAATCTTAAAAAGAAATTTAAAGAATGGACATGGACAGAGATAACTTAGTGGGCACGGGTGTAACATCTGCAGGCAGTAAGCCTGAGTTTTATCCATAGTACCACAAAGAGCGACCCTTAGCCACTAAGCCAGGAGTATTCCCTAAGCACTGCTGGATGTGCCCTGTCCTGCAGAAAAATACATGGGGTTGTTTTGTAGGTACCAGAAATTGAACCTGGAGCTTCACACATGCAAGGCAAGCGCTCTCCTGTTGAACCTCATCCCCACACCAAGATTATGGTTTTTAAAGTCTACTTTTAGGATCCAGGAAAATAGCTCAAAGGGCTTGCAGAAGTTTCCCTCTTTGATTCCCAGCAGCACTGAGAGCTCCTCTGAGCATAGGAGTAGCACCTAAGCACTACTGGGTAAGCCAATGAAAACAAACACAACCACCAAACTACTAATAGCCTGCGGGGGTAGCTCAGTAGTAAAACATTTCTGTAAAGTCCTAGAGGTTGGGGATATGATTGGTAAAATATATGCCTTAAATGCCTGAGACCTGGATTAAATCCCTGCAAAAATACCCAAAAACACAAATTTTGAGAATAAAATGTCATTATAACATACTATCCCCAAAATATACAAAAAAGAAACAATGTGGATGGGAGAAAGACCATGGCAAGGTGCTTGATTTATATGCAGCTGACCCTGGTTAGATTCCCAGCACCATATATGATCCTTTGAGCATCACCAGGAATCACAGCAAAGCACAAAGCAAGGAACAGCGCACCGGTATAGCCCGACACAAAAAGGTGAAGCCATGAAGGAACTGTGCTCATCAAGGAGCAAGTGACAAATACCACCCAAAAGCTAAGTGAAAAATACCACCCAAAGTTGAGAACTGGGAGAGGATTTTGGTCTGCGCCTCCTCCTTCCAGAGCATATGAAAAACAAACTTGTCCGGATCTGTCCCACGTTCATTCCTTACTCCTCCACAGTCAGTAAAGAAGTCAACCTATAAAAGTGTACTCCTGGGGGCTGGAGTGATCGTACAGTGGGTTATGGCAATTGCCTTGCATGTGGCCAACGCGGGTCTGATTTCCAGCATCCCAGATAGTCCCCCGAGCATTTCCATGAGTAATTGCTCAGTGCAGAGCCAGGAGTAACCCCTGAGCATCTCCAAGTGTGAAAAAAGCAAAAAAAAAATAAGATAAAATAAATCCATCCTCTCCCCTAGAGGCATTTACCTTATCGTTTCCACTCTATTTCCTGAAACCCTTCATTGGCTGCCCAAAAAGGTCCATCTAGAGATAGTAAGACATGTAAGGCACTTGCAGTAGTCCCCAGTTTGATCCCCAGCATCCCATATGGTCCCCCAAGCACTACCAGGAGTGAGTGCAGAGCCAGGAGTAACCCCTGAGCACTACCCGTTGTGGCCCCAAACTCTACCCCCTAGATGAAAATAATAGTAAACCGAGAAAATTCTTAACACATAGTAAAAAGAGACAATAAAAGGCATTTTTTTTTATTCAAAGGTATAACTGGATAAGTAGATCTGTTTACAACCATTCTTGTGAAATACTTTTTAAAAAAATATGACCAACTTCTTTGCGAATAGCAGACACATACCTCAACTATGATGACCTAATTTTTGGTGTATAATGTACATGATTAGGCAGAAATAGGCAAGCTCACACTGGTAAATTAACTATCAAATACTCAGTCAAAACTTCGTTTGTGGCCCCCACTTCTTGATCGATTTCTGTTCCCACTTCGTCTTCTTCCATCTTGTCGACTTCCTGACCGACTCCCCTGTCGACTCTGTCTACCAGACCGGCCACTGGATCGACCACCTGACCGGCCAGACCGGCCAGAACGGCCACCTGACCAGCCACTTCTCTGTCTGGAATTAGAAGATACGTTTCCGTCATAATATTCTTCAATTTCAGGTAATTTGGCTGGCACTGATAGTATCCAGTCTGAATCATGCCACTCTGCCTGTTGGGCAGAATTTACAAAATTAATATAAATATAAAATACAAACCACATGCAAGCACTCGAGTATAGGAGACTATTATCCATTACAAATCAGACTTAAAAAGCCATCTATCCGATAAATTTAAAGTGTATGGAACAATGGGGATCGGAGTCGTAGTTCAGAGAACAGGGCGTTTGCCTAGCACAGGCAAGCCATGTTTGATCCCCGGCACCTCACTTGTTTCCCAAGACCACCAGGAATTGATCCCTGAGTGCAGACTCAGGAATAAGGCCTGAGCACTGCCAAGACCGACCCAAAAACAAAGCGTATGAAAAACTGAAAGCCAAAAAAAAAGACACATTTTTTAGTTTATTTTGGTTTGGGTGCAAACCCAGCAGTACTCGGGTTACCCCTGGCCGTGCTTGGGACCATATGGAATGATGGAGACTGAACCCAGGTCAGCCATGTGGAAGGCAAACACCCTGCCTGCTGCACTACTGGCCCAGCGCCCCCAGACATATTTAATGCTAAGGAGAAACTCCCAGGCCATTTTGAAACTTTAAATTCACAGTCAACCAACACATTCTGAAAGAATACTGGCCTCTTAAAAACAAAAGAAGTTGTTGGTTATAAATATTGCATTGTTTTTAGCAGGCATACTGACAGAAGCAGAAAGGGAAAAGCCGATGATTGAAAACTTGTCTCAGGGCTGGAACAACAGTAGGTAGGACATTGCCTTGCGCATGGCTGACCAGGTTGGATCCCTGACATTCCATATGGCCACCTAAGCAATGCCAGGAGTGATTCAAAATACAGAGCCAGGAGTAATCTCTGAGCATCACCAGGTGTGGCCCAAAACAAACAAAAAAAAACCCCAAAACAGGAAGGAAAGGAGAGCAATTTTTATTTCAGTTACTTTTTTTAATAGCCAAGTAATACAGAATCATTAAAATTAAGTAACGGCACAACTGACATAGCTGACATATTTTGAGCTATATATTCATTTTTGAAAAGATTTTAAAAATAG